TGAGGTTGGGAAAGATGGAGGGCACAAGGAGAAGGGGACGACAGAGGACGAGATGGTTGGACAGTGTTCTCGAAGCTACTAACATGAGTTTGACTAAACTGCGGGAGGCAGTGGAAGACAGAAGTGCCTTGCATGCTCTGGTCCAGGGGGTCACGAAGAGTCGGACACGACTAAACAACAACAAATGTTGATGTATGCAGAATGAACTGTTGTCTTTATTGTTTTGTTGTAGTGACATGATACTTCCTATTACATATTGTTATGGGACACCTCTAGAAATGTCACAAGGATCCATTGTATTGTACTTCCCAAGGAAGCTACTAAGGCCGCAATGAGCGATCACTGTGGTCCTGCAAGGAATCAATTTGTTGTCACTGAGCTATGAACATCCTCACCAAAATTGCCCCCCATGCTGCCTCTGCCATTTGAATTAGAAGAAATTTACCATTAAAGCTGATGGCAATTCCCCCCCTCATTTGGAAACTGCAGGCCCAGGCCCCAGTCTGGATCGCAACTACAGGAAAGGCAAAGCCCGCCCCCATCCTACGCCAGGGTCCCAATTCAGATTTCTGTTTCCTTTCCTTCTCCCCACCACAGCCCACACTGGCAATTTGCTGAAGGAAAAGCTTGCACTCAGGAGAAAACTATGACTGTGTACACATAACAACAACAACTTGTTGGACTGTTGTTGTTGTTGTTGTTGTTGTTAATACCCCGTCCATCTGGCTGGGTTTCCCCAGCCACTCTGGGCGGCTTCCAACAAAATATTAAAAATACATTAAAACATCAGTCATTAAAAACTTCCCTAAACAGGGCTCCTTCCAGATGTCGTCTAAATGTCAAGATAGTTGTTTATTTCTTTGACATCTGATGGGAGGGTGTTCAACAGGGCGGGTGCCACTACTGAGAAGGCCCTCTGCCTGGTTCCCTGTAGCTTCACTTCTCAAAGTGAGGGAACTGCCAGAAGGCCCTCGGAGCTGGACCTCAGTGTCCGGGCTGAACAATGGGGGTGGAGACGCTCCTTCAGGTATACTGGGCAGAGGCCATTTAGGGCTTTAAAGGTCAGCACCAACACTTGTGCTCGGAAACGTACTGGGAGCCAAGGCAGGTCTTTCAAGACCGGTGTTACGTGGTCTCAGCGGCTGCTCCCAATACATTTATATTTAAAGCACCTTTAAGCACCCCCTGAACCCTGGGAACTGTCAATTTCTTCTCACAGAGCTGTAATTCCCAGCACCCTTAACAAACGACCATTCCTGGGATTCTGTAGAAGGGGGAATTACTGTTTTGGCTGTATGCTAGATGTGCAGGCTATGTGGGGAACGCCACATACAGCTTTTGAGAGGTTTTGGTATCTAGCACAAACCTGGAAGTTATATACATATTTTCCTTTAGAGCAATTTCCCCTGCTGCTTCGGAGCTACAGGTGTGAAGGTGTCAAGACCAGAAGCTCTGTAAACAGAGAACTGAGAGGATCTTTTTGAAAGGCATTCCCAGTGGCAAGACGTGATTGGACTTACAGAATGATCACGCATGCTCGACAGTTCTGCCACTGTGTCTTTGCAAGTAAATAAAGAAATCTCTCTCGCAATGGATCGGTATTTTACAATTTCCACGCAAGGCAAACACCTAGAGAAATGATGCTAAGGCAGCTTCTGCTTCCATCTTGCAAGCATCACTTGGCAATAAACAGCAGCAGGTTTTTCTCATTTCTGGAACTGTGATTTGGCATTCAGATTCTTCTTTTATGTTCCATTCTGTACGTCAGGTGGATTATTTGTGGAATTTAGGCCTGGATGCTAAATTCTCTTCCTGATGAAAATGTCTAAATCCCATTAAAGCCAGCTGCCCACTAGGTGAAATTATGTGCAGGTATTAAAAGGACAAATATGCTCTTTAAGCTTTCGGTAATGTGTTGGTGCCCGAAAGCCCATCAAAAGGAAAATGCTCTGCATTTAGGCTGGCTGCCGTTCATAATATTTGTAGTCGTAATCAAATGTCCTTTACTGTGTGGTTATTTAAACATGGCACTGACGTTGTACACGGAAGCAGATACAGGTGTGCATTCAGAGAACCATTCTGGCTTCATTTGAGCAATTTTTTCCTTTACACTACTGCTCAGTGTTGCATTTTGAATTACCCAATTCATCATTAGCTATATTAGCTGTTCAGACATCTTGAAATTTGCTGATAAGGTATACTTTTGCTCAGTGCTCTTTTTCTAAAAAATTGTTTAGGTGTACTCTCATTTTGAGTCAAGAAAATCACCATATTTTACTTCAAATCGAGGAAAATAAATACAGTAAATGGACAAAAGTACAAAGATTCATAAAATGTTTAGGGGTATGTGTACCCCTGCACACCCCCCCCCCCGAAAAAAGCACTGCTTTTGCTTTTGACTTTGGGGTCAAGGTGTCAGAAAGTTTGCTATTAACTGGAAATACCAAACACACTGCGAGCTAGTTGCTATTCACGTGGAAATTTCAGGTGTGGTAAGGATGCTTATCATATCACAAGGGATTCCCAGCCTAAGCTGCCCAGTTTCCCAGCATCCCAAAGCCAAAGACTCATGGTACAGGGGCACAGTGTTATTTTGGTGCAAGGCATGATGCCATTAAGAGACTTCAAAAGCCATTGTCCCCAAGGATGTGGTTGAGTGGTAAAGGGGTGGAACTTGTGCAAAAGTCCAGGAAATTTGAAATTTTGCCTTTGGATGGTAACCTCTCCCCCTTTTCTCCAGTAGAAAAATGGGAAATTTCCAACTTTTTAAAATCATACAATAATGTTTTAGGACTGTGTAACTTTTTATAAAATGAGAATTACTAGAGTCTACTGACGTGGGTGGCGCTGTGGGTTAAACCACAGAGCCTAGGACCTGCCAATAAGAAGGTCGGTGGTTCAAATCCCCGCAATGGGGTGAGCTCCCGTTCCTTGGTCCCTACTCCTGCCAACCTAGCAGTTCAAAAGCACATCAAAGTGCAAGTAGATAAATAGATACCACTCTGGCAGGAAGGTAAATGGCATTTCCGTGCGCTGCTCTGGTTCACTAGAAGCTGCTTAGTCATGCTGGCCACATGACCCGGAAGCTGTATGCCGGCTCCCTCGGCCAATAAAGCGAGATGAGTGCCACAACCGCAGAGTCAGTCACGACTGGACCTAATGGTCAGGGGTCCCTTTACCTTTACTGAACATTATTTTCATTGCTTTCAAAGGCTGTGCCTATCGATGGTTGATAGTGTCACCATAACACATTAGAATTTTTTTAGATTATTTCCAGTCTGCTTGACTCAGGGTCCTGCAACCCTATTGTAGGCATGCTTATTTGTCAGTAAATCCAACTATATCCTGCAGGGTTTACATCAGGGATGGGGAAACTGCGGCCTGCCAGGTATTGCTGAACTACAACTTCCATAGTCCCTGCCCACTGACCATGTTGGCCGGGGCTGATGGGAACTGGAATCCAATGAATGGAGGTCCACAGCTTCCCTATCTCTGCTTTACAGTACAGAAATGCCATGCCACTTTTACTTATCAGGTCTCCAAATAAACAGTGTCTTTCCTCTCCAAATTTTCCCCCTCCCCGGCCTTTGCATGCTCCTCCCAAAGTGGCTGTTACTAAGGTACAACACTGGCTACGTGCGGATTTTTTCCTGCAGCCAGGAAAGTGAGGAGGTGGCTGTTTCCCTTCTTTTACTGTGTTCTTCCTTCTCTCCCTTCCATCCTGTCCCATAATGCCTTACTGGCTCCAATTTTGCTGTGGTTTTTGCTAAACTAATCCATTTCAGAATACATTACTACACTGCTACTCATTGATTCTGGATTGTCTTAAAGTGAGATGACATGTAAACACACAATCTTCCCCTTTACATGCAAATAGATGTTCAAATGACATTGATTCAAATAGTTTGCAGAGAATTGGCAAAGAGGGAGAGCTTCGTTTTTCTTTTTTTAAAAAGCTGAACACTGTCATGACGGAAGAAAAATATTGAATGAAGCTCCCACAGCCCAAGGCAAATCAGCCTATCTAAGGTGTTTTTTGAAAAACGTTGGCATGCATTTGCTTAGAGGCAAGTTTCTTTGAATGCCGCAAAGCAACAGGCTCCACAAGGAATATAGTCAGTAATGCCCTCTGTGTGAACTTGTCGATTGGAAGTGTAGGACACTGTGAAATACTAATACTAATAATGACCTTTCAGGCAGTATGTCTACACCAGCAACACAAAAATATTCAGCACAGATTAAAAAACACACACAGTTAAAATCACAATCAACAGTATTCAATATAGGGACAAAAGCAAAGTGCTTGTGCAGAGGAGACAGAGCTCAGCAAAAGGTCTGGGTGAAAATATATGTTTTTTAATCTGTGCTGAAAATGAGGGTCAACAATGATCACATTTGAAGGGGGGAGCTCCACAAATGGGGGAGAAGGCATTCCACCCATTATGTGGGTCATAAGCCACATAAGGCTTTGTATGTACACTGAATTTGGCCCAACAGCATATACTACGCAGCAGAAGCGTTTTTTTGTCTCTACACTTGAGAAACCCATATGCCAGAATATAACCCATAAGCCAGTTTTCTTCACAAGTGTGAAGCTGGTTTATGTCCTACTTCCCCCAGTTATTAATACATGTGTTGATAACAGCATGATTTCGGCGGGTGAACAGGGATTTGAGTGCCTATTTTAGTCTGGGCCCATGTAGTGATCTGGGTTTTCACTTCCCAGTGCATGCATTCAGAAGGAAAAACAGGCATTTGCAGATTGACAGAAGGATTGATGAACAAAGTTAGTTCTCAAATAGCCCCTCTATCTGGCATATAAGAATATGAAATATTATTAGTCCACCCGTCTACACATTTCTACATCAATAGCCTAGAGGAAAAAGAACCAACTTTCTTCCATTTACATAAACTTCCCCTTTTGGAGACCATTTTCATTTGCCAAGAGCAACTAGATTACAAATCTAAGGTGAGCATTAAAAAGGACATTAATTTTTTTTAATGAAAAGTGTTTATTAAACACGTGCGTATTTGCAATATTGAACATCCCGACATACCCAAATCTTATATTACACAAACATAAATCTGAAAAGGTTTAACAAAGTCAACACAAAACACAGAGAATTGTATGCCAAATAATGCTTTTAAATAATCCGTATAATAAAACACAAGAGGAAATAATGTTGCACGCACACAAAACGTTTGCAACAGAAGGTAGCTTGCCTTGACAAGCTACGGTTGCTGTACTGAAATCCACTTAAGCTATTAAGCACAAGTACAAAGGAATAAATATTTGGAAATGAGCTTTTTGGACCTGATTCCACAGACATAAATTGTGCACAATTGATTTTTACTCCACTGATTCAACTGCAGCTCTGACATACATTGGAGCTCTATGCAGACAGGGTCTGTCCCATTTTCTTCCAACTTTCAGGAATGTTAGGTTTAGTCAGGTGCACAGATAATCTATAATAAATAGGACAGTCTGCTTGCATGGACTTTGGGATTGCGGCCCTTGGCTAATCCGAGCATTAAATCCCATTGAAATCAATGGGATTAAAGTGCTTGCAACAGGGCTAGATTTTAAGACCCCTCCATTGCAAGAATTAATTCCCACTGATTAATTTTTCCTATTTCTCATTGCTTTTACAGTGCTGAGTAACAGATGCCTTGAGAAATATTGCCAGTCATACATTCCTAGGCAAAGAACTAAGCTCAAAGCCCTTATATTCAGTAGATTTGCAGTTAAGTGCTTTGGGGGATCAGAAATAATGTCCATTATAGAAAAAGTCCACAAACAACTGCAAGAACCATCTATTCTTAATTACCTAAAAAAAATAATAATAAAATAAGCCACATGATATGCATCAAGACAATTTTACAATGAAGACTATATTAAATATTTTACATGGCTTGGAATACAGTGTTGTAGCTGCCAGCATGTAATACATTTTAATAAGATACAATTCTTGCCCACTGGATGAAAACTTTGTGTGTTAAAGTCTTGCATGAGCATATGTATACCGAAGGTATACTGCAGATAAAGAAACCCAGAGCAATTTGTTTCACTCTAAGAGCCAATTAGTACAGTGACTTACTAGCCTGAAACTCCATGGCTCTAAAACTGGTTCCCAAATCAGATTATGCAAAGGAGAAAAGAAGATCAGCTGGAGTGTGTAGCCAACACCAAATTTAGCTGCCTGGGTCACGTGCAACATGATCTGAGAGGCAAACACAATTGAAAGTGCCATCACAAACAGCACTTAGCTGCTAGGTATTTTGTACTCATTTTGTATGTACAGAATAGTCCAGATTCAAATACTATTACTGTACTGTATGCATGCATGTGCCTGATATTTTCGATATTTTCTTATCTGTCTGAACGCGATGGCATTGTATTGTATGTTTCAACAGTGATAAGAAGCTAATCAAATCCTATCTGTATTGTGACATAACCCAAAGCTTTTTGCACATGGACTATTGCACTGCAACAGTATTTTCTAATCAAAGACAGCCTGCTCCATTTTAGAGAATGGCCCCACACTGTGGCTTTTAGGATTGGCTCAAGAGTTTCTTTAAGGACTTTTCAGTTTCTTTAAGGACTTTTGTTTGACTCTGAAAGTCATGCTAGACTAGAGGATAACAAAATAGTAAGCTTTTTTTGAGGGGTCGGGAATTGTGAATTATGACTCTTGTGTGTTACCTGGAGAACTGCAAAGAACGTATGTGAATTTTCCATGACAAACAACAGTATATAAAAAAAATAATTTTAAGTTATATGTTGATTCAGAACAAAGCACTTCTTTACACATTTAATAAAAAAGCAAACCTTAAACATCCCCTGGATCGTTTATATATTCAAATGAAATCGACAAACATTACAAACCCTTAAGTATTCCAAGTAGCTGGATATCAGACATCTTCAGCAATCGTAGTGTCAAAAACCCGATAGCAAATTTGCTGCTCTCTTCCATCCGTGACATAGTAGGATTTGATAAAACAGTCCAGCCATGGCAGGTCATCTACAATCAAAAGCAAATGACTGGTTTTAATGGGCATTTTCTGTATTCAAGAATTGTGACCAAAAAAAACAAAAGTTGTATAGATCTCAAAACATTAAGCATAAATCAGAATCACAGCAGTGGGACAGAAACAGTGGCACATACAATGGCACATACAATGTGGCTATAGTCACAAGGGTATTCATGTAGCGTAGAAGGGAACAGCACCACGGACTGCAATGTCTTAACCAAGACACTACAGTCCACCTTGGAAGTTGCACGGAATCCATTCTGGAGGTTCATTTGACTTCCAAAATGCTTGGAAACCAATGTGTGGCTTCTGATTGGCTGCAGGAAGCTCCTGCAGCCAATCAGAAGCCATGTCGGACGTTCGGGTTCCAAAGAACGTTCGCAAGCTGGAACACTCACTTCCGGGTTTGCAGCGTTCAGGAGCCAAAATGTTCAACTCACAAGGCGTTCGGGATCCAAGGTACGACTGTATACATATTTAAGATGCCAAAGAAAGCACTTATCCTACTTCACGTGAAACAAAAACTTGTTTAGGTGAGTCATGAAAAATTCAGCTGGGCTTCTGTTTGAAGCACTCTGCATCGAAAAAATGTCCCTTATACATGAACCGCTGCCAAGTGAAATCAATGTTCCTGTGTTTGCTAGCATGGCAGATATTACTTTTCTCATTTCTCCCCCCCCCCCCCAAATTCGGCATAAAATCAATAAAGTGTCATGGTTGTTGCTGAGTCTATCAGATATTTGCACTATGCGCAGTTAAATTCTGAAGGCCAGAATGTATTTCTCAAGTTCTATTAGGGAGGAAAAAAATCTCAAAACAATCCACAATATTCTCATACAATGAAACTGGGTTCAGTAATACACAGGCACAAGAAGCTAGCATTTGTCATCAACAAACACAAACAGTTTTAATTCAGAAGTATATACAGGCAGTCACATTCTCGTACGGGAAAAGGCAACTTTAAATTACTCTGGCAACCAACTGGACTAAATGTGGCTGGCAAATGTACAGAGGTCCTTAAGGCTTTACAGATAGTTTCATGAGGTTTCAGCATATATAAGAGAACAGAAGGGCCACTGAAGTATACCATCTGTGACTTCATTTGAAGACACCTTTCAGTGCTGCTAAAATGCCAGGTTGCTTTTTAAGGATACAGTTTAAACGTACCATGCTGTACAGAATAGTTATCCTTTGTACCAAATTCTCTGTTTGGACTATTGCAGCCAATGGAGAAATTATACATCTATATCTTTAAAAAGAACAGAGCTACAAACCAGTGTAGTTTTGTGGTACAGCAGGAAAAGATGTAATTTAATTCTCTTTCCTACAGAGTGTAAAAATTAAAAAGATAAACTTATGTAGATTTTAATCATGCTTCCAAATTTATGATAAGTATCTCACCTAGATTTGTGCCTGAAGGGCAAAGTTTGTTCATGATCCTTTCTATGTTCTCTTGAAAAATATTATTGGTCAGGACTTCAGAAGCTGGAATTTGGAAGAAATCTTTCTGGAGAACAGGAAAAATGATGCAGATATAATTAAATTAGTCAACAGATATTTGGCAAAGAAATGAAAATTACATGTAACAAAAACATGTTTCACACTTCATGTTTTTAACACAATGCAAATAATGAAAAACAGAAGGGAGTAGCATTGTTTATTCACATAAGCAGTCTAATATCTAAATCTGTTTTTAACGTTCTGGTATAACAAGAAGGAGCACCTTTTAAAAAACATCTTCACTTTAAACCAATTTATAAGTGAATCTAAATTCACCCTCTCAAAGGAATTCATGCCAGCCTTAGCTTTATTAAAATTCATAGCTAAAATAGAAATAATCTACCACATTTGTACAGGCTAGATCTTAATAAAACATGAATGTATGTCTCAAGTGTATGTTGAGCAATTTCTACCACCAATATGCAGTTAACTCACAGAATACTCTGTAGTCTCATCTACTACACTATAAACCCACGTATCAACACTTAGTTAAAAATAACAGAAATTACAGGTGCCAATTAGTAATATTTGGTATGAGTAGATGTAATCACATTATCTCTGCTTTATAGCTTCTATGTAATTGAAGAGTTCAGATTCTACATATTTTCAGAAGTTATACTGCTGTACCTTGCTGCAACACTTCAGCATATAAAGAACTGGTAAGTTAAAGAGAAATGAAAACATTTCCCCCTATAATTTTCATGTCCATCTATATGTAATAACCTTACTTTTGCATTTTTGCTCAAGCATGTCAGACTGACAAGTTTTTACATGCTTCCCACATTCCTCTGGGAGGGGGTTGACTGCCATTCTATCATTTTTTTATAGAACAAGAACATTTTTTCATCTTGTTTCTGATTTGGCTTTGCTTAAATTCTAACTAGGTAAAGGTTAAGGGACCCCTGACCATTAGGTCCAGTTGCGAACGACTCTGGGGTTGTGGCGCTCATCTCGCTTTATTGGCCGAGGGAGCCGGCGAACAGCTTCCGGGTCATGTGGCCAGCATGACTAAGCCGCTTCTGGCAAACCAGAGCAGCGCACAGAAACGCCGTTTACCTTCCCGCCAGAGCAGTACCTATTTATCTACTTGCACTTTGACGTGCTTTCAAACTGCTAGGTTGGCAGGAGCAGGGACCGGGCAACGGGAGCTCACCCCGTCGCGGGGATTTGAACCGCCAGCCTTCTGACTGGCAAGTCCTAGGCTCTATGGTTTAACCCACAGCGCCACCCGCGTCCCTCTTAAATTCTAACTAGTGATGGGCAAACTGTCCCCAAGTAGAAAGGGGCCACAAATTATTATTCCTCCCCCCCCCTGAGAATTTTAAATTAACACAAGAAGAGTCTGATGGATCATGCAATAGACCTATCTAGCCCAACATCCTGTTCTCATCGTAGCCAACCAAATGCTTGTAGGTTTACTGAGCGCAAGGACACTCTCTCTTCTCCTGTAGCTACTAGCAGCTGATATTCAGAAGGCTATACTGCCTGTGACCATGGAGGCAGAACACAGAAACCATGGCTAGTAGCCATCAATAGCCCTTTCCCACATGAATTTGTCTAATTTCTCTTTTAAAGCCATCCAAGTCTTTTAAAGGCCACCACTGTATCCCATGGCAGCTTCCCCAAGTACTTCTTTAAGGAACTCTTTCTAGCCCTTTCCTTCAACTGGAAAGGAAGGGAGGAGAGAGAAACTAAGAGAAAGAGAAAGGGGGATGAGAGAAGGATACATAAGGAATCAAGTACAGCGTGTGTCGCACTATAGTTCCAGAATGGTGGCATGTCATAGCACCAGAGAGAGACACTGGGGGGAACTAAAATGACATATGCTCCAAAATGTTTCAAATCGTGGGAAAGAAAAGTTAGCAGTCTTCCAGTGTCAAGAAGAACAATTGCTCAATTGCTTGTGTCCAGTATTTAGCGTTGGGGTCAGGCCCTCTCAATGTTGGGCCTGATACGTCTGTTGCTGCTGCTGTATTTAATCTAAAAATCAAGGTTTGAAAGGGGCTATTTTCATCCAATTTCACATGAGCTTAACTAAAGCATTTTAAAACTAGATCATAGTTCTTACTGCTTCTACTGCAACTCTGCCCTCTCTCCATGTCGCTTGAGAGAACAGCCATATGCAAGCACACACTTATATTCAAACTGAACATTTTCAGAGTACAATGTCTCTTACGCAATCCATGAGATACACATTCAGGGTTCCTGTTCCATCGTCCAGCATAAACTTCATCACAAAGACATATTCAAGGGGCACAAGTCCTAAAGCTAAGCAGGAGGAAAATAAGTAGTTGTGTTTAGAGATTACTCAATACAAGAGAGGAATAAAAAGCTAAAAATATATTATCGGTGAGATACAGACAACTTAAACACCACTGTCATCCACTGATTTATTTCTGCTGCAGAGGATTCCAGTGTGAATGAACGGCTCCCAACTAAACTGCTCCCTCTATTGAAGTGAATTGCGCAGTCATGTGCACACAAGCTATCTATACTGCACCTTCGTAAGATAGTAACACTGCTGTGGAAGATGCTCAATAGCATTTACATACACAATTGCATCCAGTGAAAATTTTAATTTCATGTAGGCTTTATAAGCTATTTCCCAATAGCCAGTAGACATCTTGGCAGTGTCATTGTGGATTCATTTTGTTCTGCCCAGTTCCATTCCTAAGGAAATCTGAAAGGGAAAGCGCTACTGATTCTTTGGTAGAAGAATGGTCCCCTGCAGAGAACTGCTCTGCTACGTATCCCATTAAAATAACCCACCAATTTATTCTGTATAGCTTAAATACAGAGTCCAATGAAGATATGAACAGCCACTGAATTAAGTTTTCTGGTTCCATGTTAGTGTTTTAACACACAATTCTGGTTTCATTTTTGTCACTGTTGTTGCTTAGGTAGATTACAGTGGGGCGGGAGAACAGAAAGCTGCTGGTTGTGTTTCGCCATTATGTCTTCTGCTAGGACAAGACTCATACGAGTGAATATAGTGCAGGCATGGAGCAAGACAGAGCAATTGAGCTCCTCTTGCCTGCTCAAATGCAGATCTTTTGAAAGGTGACTGCTATGCAACAGAGAAACCAGCATTTGTTCTTATTTACATAAATCAGCATCAAGGTCATTTCTCGAGAACAAAAGCCACCCTAAATGGAACTTGTGATAATTTGTGAATAATTACATAAATCAACTATCAGAATCAGCTTCCCCTGCATTTATTGCTTGTGATGAAGCTAATCGTGCTTTATTTTACTTCCAGAAATTCGGGAATTCACATAACACACTTCCATGGGGGCGCAGCTCTATGCACAGGGACCGCAGCACGAAATGCTGTGTTTGGAACCTAACCATTCCTGGAAGTCCCTTACAAAATAATAATAATGCTTACACACCATTGCACTCTGCTATGGGGCTAACAGAAAAGCCCTATTACTTAATTCAGATCAAATGATTCTGCAGGATCTTTTTTGGAAGCGTGCGTATAATAATAGCACTGGACTCTGTAGAACTTAAAAGCTACCTATTTTATTTCCTATGCATCAGATGCCAGACTAATATGTATCAGATTGAGATTCAGCTAGGGACGTTCCTGCTCTTTTCCAGGAAAGCTCCGTACGCTAAACTCAAATTGCCTCTTGCAGGCATAGAATTGTAGAGTGGGAAGGGACCATGAGGATCATCTCGTCTGGTCCAACCCTCTGAAAGGCAGGAATCTCTTACCCAATGTAGGGCTCAAACATAGGACCCTAATTAAGAGTCTCATGCTCTACCAACTCAGCCATTTATTACGTCTCAATGATGCCCTTATTTAAACAACAAGAAGAGGCCTGTTCACAAAGGGGAGCAGGCTTTGAGCACTGCCTAATGTGCTGCTATGAGTACCCTAAGTCAATCTAAATTGAGATTAATGTCAGAGACTCTTTATTCAACTTAATATAACTTTGCTCTCCTATGTGAACAAGGCACAAATGATGAGAGAAGCATCTTCAAAATAACCATTATTTTGGAATGAGCTGCAAGTCTTTCTCTTTCTCCTGGACTCAATAACTTTTTAAATCTTCAGATTTATGCAGCTTTCTCCTTACTCGGACATTACTGGGTGGTTTTATTTACACTCAGGACTTCTGAATAAAAAATATGGATAATAGCATAATCTAACCTTGTGCTATGGTAGTGGGCTCCCACAATGGATCTTTCTGTGCAGCAAGGGGACTCAAGCTTGCTATCGCCTTCGGATTTGAACAGTGTTTGCACCTAATGTTTGAAACAAAACAATAGCATTAAGTGTTCTGTATATTTAGCTTTTCTCAAAACTTGCCAGAAGAACATTTTCCTGCTGTTTTATAGACAGATATTTTATATGGCCTAGAAAAGCAGTAAACTTTAATGCCTTTTATAAGATACTGTCAACAAAAATAAATTCCTTGGTCAGTTGAACTGAAGAATGTCAGGCAAATTGATACATTGCTAAGCATATATTTTCTAAACACTGCTCTTTCTTGTTTAATGACACAAAACTGCTTCACATGATATAAGTAATAAATCTGGTATGGTACAATATGCTAAAACACGACTGAATTAATAATTTAACCACGCCCTAACAAGTAAATAATTTTATTCTTTAGTACGTTGGCAATGTTAAAAAAAGAACTTAGAACATTTTTATAGCCATAAAAATCATCAACATAAAAATGGTGTTTGTACGTCTTAAAAAGAGAGCTGCAACAAAACTATTTTTCCAGGTAAGAAAATTATGCAAATGCTTGTATAGCATGCTTTAAAAGACATCTTTTAACTTTTGATGACTGCAGAAAATAAACCAAGTGTTGTTAGTGTAGAGAAAGTGAATGTTATTGTCCAATATAATTGGGTCTAAGTCAAGATGAATTAAGACCGTGATTTCAGTTTCATTAGTTCCACTGACTTCTTCCCTTGTAGCAAGGAAGAATTTATTCCCTCAAGAAATTGGCTCCATTGTTACCGTTTCTAATGTCTGACCAAATTCTACCCTCCTGTAACTGAAACCCATTAAGTAGATCTAACCCTCTGAGGTAGCAGCAGCAAGCAAGACTTGGCGCCCTTTCCATATATTTCAAGTATTTGAACAGTGCTATTATGTCCATCCATTGTCTTCTCTTCTGGAAGTTAAATATATCCAGTTCCCACAACCTTTTCCTCATAGGACTTGCTTTCCATATGGATTTCACTGTCATCCTGAACTTCTTCTTCAAATGGTTTTGCCCAGAGGTGGACACAATATTACAGATGAGGCACAACTAATGCAATATTACCTTTTGTGGCTTAGAAATGCCTCCATAAAAAGGCCTTTACCATCTTTGCAGGTTTTGTTGCCACGGATTAAATCCTGCCCCAGTGATCTAGTGGCACGTGGCACATCTGAGAGTATTGGTGACGCATGCACAACTCTAGTGTGTGAAACAACTTCCCAATCTAATTCAAAGGAGGCAGAAGTTGTGAACTTTGCACAGTTAAGATTGCTACCCTGCCCATAGCACAGATGTAAAAATAATACCAGTGTGTAAATTTGGACCCAGCTAGGAACTTAGCATCCTGTCTTCTTCAATTTTATTATCTGCTATAAGGACAGATAAAGTAACTAATTTTCCAAAGGTCTAACAACCGATCAAAGGTTTTGGCATCAGAACTGGAGTTAAGAAGCCAGATTTAATATTGGTGTGTGTGTGTGTGTGTGTGTGTGTGTGTGTGTTTTAGATTTACCCATAGTGTGGTATATTCCCTTGCCAAAGAAATGGAGCTGAAAGATCCAGCAACTCAAGATCGTCTTCCATGGCTCTTACGGGTATAATTCCTTTAAATTTTTTTGAGAGCTTCAAGATTTCCTCCAGTGTGCCTCCTATAAATAAACAGAAATAACTATATTTAGGTTACTTTAATATTCTGATAACACGTTAAATAACAGCAGTGAGCCAAGTTATCAAATTTATCCCTGACCATCCTTGTGTATATAATGTGTGTACATATATATTTGGATCCCAAGAGAGACAGACAATCATACAATTCTAGAATCGGAAGGGACCTTAAGGATCATGTAGTCTAATCTGCTGCAATGCAGGAATATGCACCGTATGGGGATTGAACCTGTAACCTTGGCTTTATCAGCACCATGCTCTAACCAACTGAGCTATCCAGCCAATAAGCAGGCAGGTGGGCAAAGTCCACCTGAAAGTCTGTTCCAGCTGGATAAAGGATTCCAGGAGCCAGAAGGAGCCAGGTTAAGATGACCCCAGGACCTGCTCCTGCTGGTCTGTACCCCACTACCAGCACCAGAGCTCCTACCACCAACTACTCTGTAGAAAGGATCCTGAAAAAAAAAATCACAATCGTCTTCTTAAACTACAATTCTATTGCCTCGGCCCAGTATACCTGAAAGAGCGTCTCCACCCCCATTGTTCTGCCCGGACGCTGAGGTCCAGTGCTGAGGACCTTCTGGCGGTTCCCTCACTGTGAGAAGCCATGTTACAGGGAACCAGGCAGAGGGCCTTCTCGGTAGTGGCACCCGCCCTGTGGAACGCCCTCCCACCAGATGTCAAAGAGATAAACAACTACCTGACATTCAGAAGACATCTTAAGGCAGCCCTGTTCAGGGAAGTTTTTAATGTGTGACATCTTAGTGTATTTTTTGTCTTTGCGGAAGCCGCCCAGAGTGGCTGGGGAAACCCAGCCAGATGGGTGGGGTACAAATAATAAATTATTATTATTATTATTATTATTACTATTATTACTATTAGAATAACCAGGAATCTGTTCTCACAGTGGGTGGCAAAATGCCTATGGGAAGTCCGCAAATAGGACCCGAGTGCAACAGCGGTTTCCAGCAACTTCCTGCGGTTTCCAGCAACTGGTGTTCAGACAGCGGAAGTAGAACCCAGTCGTATTACTTGTAAGCCACCTTAGGACGATTGGTATCCTGAAGGCGGTATAGAAATAACTGAAATAAATGTGCTCTACACCATGCATGAAATGCAAGCTTAAAAATATAAGATACACAAACGTCCGATACGGTTCATTAGGATTTCATAAAGTGGCAAACGTGATGAAATGTATTTCATGGAAGATACCAGTGGACGGTATGTTGCAAATTCAAGACTCGGCAGCCAAGGACCAATTAATTAATCCAGCTGAACCAAGAGAGACATACCGTATTTTTCTGTGTATAAGACTAGGTTTTTCCCCTAATGTCGAAAATTAGGGGGCGCCTTATACATGGACACATTCCCCCCCCTTTAAAATCTGAGTCCCCCCCCAAATAGGGGACGGGCGTCTTATACATGGGGGCATCTTATAGACAGAAAAATATGGTACTTCTTCTGTCTATCTTCCAGCATAGGTCAATTTGCTTAGTCCAGTTGTGAAGAAAGCCGATAAGAGTTGTTGATTTCACGTGTTTTGTTTTATATTGTATTTTGAATACCACCTTAGAAGGCGATTCATAAATTATTATACAAATTAATATCAAATCTGTTTCAATCATTGTGACTTGCATTTTTCACGCAAAAATATAGAGCTCCTGGAACAAACAACTGTTATTTGAAAAGCTATAATAGAAACACATGGGCACAGCCCACTAGGAGGTTCTCTCGCAAAAGCCCACAAAATGAATGGCAGCTGAGTAATTCCTTTTCTTGGGGTGATGCCATTCATTTAAGAGACTCGTGTGCCCCAAATACATGAGGTATGGCTCGTGAATAAAAACAAAACATAGCTTGCCTACTGCTTTTCTCACAGTAGCACAGCTTTATCTCTGTGAAAACACTGACATCCAGAGGATAATTAAGCACAGTACGTTTGCAACAGGAAAGGCTTTTGGGCTTGTATATTATCCAGCTACTAGAAGAAGTAAAATACTTTCTTAGAGGGCAGAATATGAATTCCAACTAAAATGGAACCACAGGTAAATTGTACAAAGACATTTGTAAAAAAAAGAAAAGAAATAAAGCTTTGGATTTATTATTCAGTGTCTCATTCACAATTCAGTATATAGCAATTCTCTCCTAAGATTATTCTTGTCCTCCCCATTTCTCTTCTCATGTTTAAGTGTATTTCACAGATTCACATCAAAAAGTGCTACCTAAATTTCCTGCTTAGTTTCCGGTTTTCTATTTTACTCCTATATACAAACACCATTAAGTATTTTGCAGAACTATGAGAAAGAAAGCAGATTTATTTGGGGGCAAAATTCAAGGTAAGATTTTGAAGAGGCAAGAGACTTCATGGGAATGATTCATGCAATGTATTTTATGCACGAGTCCTTTATATATATGGGGCTTGCCAATTAACAACTATTCCATAGTGCATGAAGTTTGCTCACAAATAATTTTTTTTAAGTGAACAAATCAATTTGAAAAGAAAACTTGTGTGTGTGTGTGTATATATATATATATATATATATATATATATATATATATATATACACACACACACACACATATATGTATATATATATATATGCTGCAAACATTTTCTCTTGTGAAGTTTTTCTGGTTTAGTGGAATCTCATGAGGGTAACAGCAAGAGACAGATACTTTTTATCAGGATCAAAACTTTTAAAAATAGTTAAATATTTCTTAAACTTATTTTTTTAAAAGACTAAGATATTTTGTAGCATACCATCCAATCTCTTACATACAGCTGTATTAACTAACCTTCTATCATAATCAAACTGTCTTCTGGGTCTTGTAGTAGTTCATCATGCTTTACAAAATGAATAACCACACGCCGCTGTCCCTGGTTTTCAGTATCCCAAACAACAGATTCGCAGAAGGATGTATTTTGTAAATCGGGCCTTGGACATGTAGCAGAAGCCTCCTGTAAAATTAGATCAAGCTCACTCCCATCCGGAACCTCTTGCCTGGGAAAAATAATAATAATTACAGCCTGAAGCGAACTACGGAAGCCTGCTCAAAATGATGTTGTGGAATATATTAGATATTTTACCGGAACGTGCAATTCAGGAGTAGCTTGCCCCAGGGGACTCACTGCCTGTTACTGGAAGGGGCAATGAAGTGAGGGCTTTGTGGGCACACTGGCTGAAGAGCTGAGTTGGCTCTGCTTGGCACATCAACACAGCCCTGACCTTGCCAAGTTGCCCCTCCTGGTAAGTGGCACCGACTCTGCTGCTGGGAGAATCTTGCTGCGGCTCTGTCAGCCCTGACAGAAATCCTACAATAGCTAGACTCACTGGCGAAGGAAGAGGGGGGCAGGGGGAGCGCACCGCCATCGCGGCTGCCCCCCCCGGGATGTGTGCCAGCCATGCTCCCGCCTGTTTTCTGCCCCCCAGTGTCGGAGCATGAAGCTCCGCCACTGGCTAGACTTTTCCGTGTGCATGTTTGGACACAAGGTAATTGGTGAAAGCAGGCTGCGGTCCTTTAAGAAAGCAGAGAACAGGCTCAGAAACGCCTTGTTCTGAAAATCTGAGCTTAAAAACTATCTTTTAAACAAGCTTTAAGACTCCATTTTATTTTCTCCACATCTCCGCAGTGAATAGTGGTACTGAGAGTGGGTAAAGGAATAGTTCAGATTTTCATTAAAAAGTGTTTCTAAATTTAAAGAACTTGTAAGCATTTCATGTTCCTGAAGGAGTATTGAAGTCCAAAATATGTAGAGGTAAAATAAAAGCCTTGTACCACTAAGCGCTGGAACCTGATCTGTTCTTTGTTTTGATGCTTTGTGGTGCTTTGCAACCCTCTTTCTGCACACTACTGGAATTTTAAGGTCCTTACATTACTCAGTACTGGACCATTCCACATTAAGAAGGAAGTTAGGACTAAACATGAATCAAAGTGATCACCCCAGCTTCTTTTGCTTTTGGTTATAAAAGTGAGATCAAAGACTGCTACTCAATAGGGTACAGTAATTAAGAAGCCAAGCTAATATTAGGGATGGAGGAATCATTCTCTGCCTTCTATACGGAAGTCTCTCAATAAAAAAATGGGGGAAGGGAACACACTGAAATACTTGCAAGCTTCTCCTGTCTGTCAGTCAATTTGCCTGATACCATAAATGTCACCCACCACACAATGAAGCAAAAACACCTTACCCAGTAAAAAAAAAAAGTAATACAGTGGACCCTCTGGATACAAACTTAATTCATTCCGGGGGTCCATTCACACTCCAAAAATAACGTAAATTGAAGCGCGCTTCTGTGCACGGCTTGATTGAGCACTTCTGTGCATGCGGCGAAACCTGGAAGTATACACTTCCAGGTTTGCCGTGGCCGTAACCCAAAGATTCCGTATCCAGAGGGATACATAAGTAGAGGTACGACTGTATTTGCTATTTGTGCAAGGGCAAATTAAACATTTGTTTATAATAAACAAATCTCTACTGTGCACGTTATATTTTAACAGCAGTGAATTTTTAAGGTGCTAATATCATGTTCCTTTATCTAGACAGGCATTTTAGCACATTTTTAGGGTGGAATATATAATGACAAAGGGATATGATAACCAGCCCTTGATATTGCTGTACATCCAAGATCCACTGATCCAAAAATCTAGGAAACTATGTAAGCAACATCTCCAAAGCAGCATGAGAGAAAAATGTATCATGGCACTTACAACAATTTGCACTGGGGACAATGAAGTTTAACAGACTGATGAAGCTTTTCAGGTTCAAATTGTCTCAGCTTAGCTCTGATGCGATACGGCTGAGGACTCCTGCTGTTCAAAATAGTACTCAGTGCAGTCACTTCAAAATGCTGGTGATCTCTCAGCACTGTAAAACACAAAGATATCAAGGCTTGTATTGATGTGAACAAACATAAAATGAGAGGAAAATAGCAGCTCGGAAGTAAATTTAAACAAAGCTTTATTAAATTGCTGGAAGTTCTGGATTCATTCTGTGGTCTGGGCGTGACAATTCTGAATATGCACTTATGTGAATAGACACGTCATGTTTTGAAATTAAAAATACACACATCTGTTGTGTCCAGCTCTTTACAAAACTAAGAGTGGGCATACCCTTGGTCTGCACAACTGATGGCCTAACAGGCAGAAATATGAAGTGTTTCGATGGGTAAAACCAATTTATTTCTGATCCATGTCAGTTGTGCATGTCTTCACTCATACGTCTGGATATGCAATCTCATCTGCTACTTTTTTAATCCACCCTAAATAAGGGTTTAAAACTTTTCCCATCTCAAAATGTGCATTTCAAAACATATTTTCAGGTGCGTTTTGAAAAATTTATTGTGATACGTTTTGAGCAGAGGACAGTGTTGGGTTATTTGGAAAGCGTAAATCTGATGGATATTACGTTCCAATCAGCATGTTAGTCAGGGAGATGTGGATCAGGTCAGTACCTATCAAAATTTGCAAAGTTCAAATATCTCAGGCCTCCCTACAAAAGATGCCTTAGCTGAGCAGAATGTTAGTTCTATTGATTTACTATTCTGCTACAGTTTCCCATGACACACTCTGAGCCATTCTAGAGGGGGTACAACCTGGAAAAGTGGGCTTGGTGAAGCACAGAGTGCTTCAGGGAGAGTCAGTGTGGTGTGGTGGTTAAGAGCGGTAGTCTCGTAATCTGGGGAACCGGGTTCGCGTCTCCGCTCCTCCACATGCAGCTGCTGGGTGACCTTGGGCCAGTCACACTTCCTTGAAGTCTCTCAGCCCCACTCACCTCACAGAGTGTTTGTTGTGGGGGAGGAAGGAAAAGGAGAATGTTAGCTGCTTTGAGACTCCTTTGGGTAGTGATAAAGCGGGATATCAAATCCAAACTCTCTTCAGGGGAGAACACTTTGCAAGAAACAACACTGTGCAAGAAGAACTTATTTGGATCAAAGGTATACTGCATCTGTGAGTCCTACCTGTAACGGATAACTGCTGGCATCCTTCTGAACAAGATCCTACTTTGAAAAGGAAAAGAAAGATGGAGTTAATTTTGTCCCACTTACATCTCCCTGTAAACTGCAAGAGACATTAATATGCCACAACAAATTTCAACACAGACCAAAACATCTTGTTTTAAGATGACAAGAAGCCGTATGTTTGAGCAACAGCATCCATGAGCTTTGACTACTTACAGCATTATCACTTAATTTTTATTTATAAGAGGATTTCTAAAATTCCAACTCATTAAATTATTCCTGCATTGAAGGGTTGGACTAGATGATGCTTGGAATCTCTTGCAATGGTACAATTCTATGGTTCTTAAAAAGTATGAAGGTTACATACGCTTCAGGTTACAGCCTCCGCTAACCCAGAAATAGTGCTTCAGGTTAAGAACTTTGCTCCAGGATGAGAACTGAAATCGTGCTCCGGCGGCACAGCAGCAGCAGGAGGCCCCATTAGCTAAAGTGGTGCTTCAGGTTAAGAACAGTTTCAGGTTAAGTACGGACCTCCAGAACGAATTAAGTACTTAACCAGAGGTACCACTGTACAATGAAATCATTAACATTATAAAAACTTAAAACAGATCTTTTTAGACATGATCAATCATGCTTCACACGTAGATTGCATATTCCATTTGGTAGAAAATGTAATGTGGTCCCAAATATCCTGATATGAGGTGCAAAATGTTGCCACCTGCTTGTCACTTAAACTTTCTATAATCTTAGGATGTATTTTCTTACCCGAGATTACAGAGAAAACAATTTTGCACATAAACAAAGAAAGCAAAACTATCTTATGTAATTCAGCTACTTTTAATCAGCTGTTGAGATCAAAGAAGTCAGTGATGGACCACAGCTCACGTCCACACATTTTTAGGGTTTCCTGAATATTTTTATCTTGCGTTAAAAGAAACAGTAGGCAACTCCATAAAAAGAACATGGAAGTACTATACTATAAAGCGAGGAAGACAGAGCTGAGTGTTGTTTTCAAGTTTATTTACATGTAAAGTAAGCATTCTCGGGTTCTGAAGGACTTTCTGAAGACTCATCTTCCATCAAGTCTACAGAGTTCAGGAATCTGAAAATGAAAAAGGTTTTGAAGAAAATAATCAAAACACAGAAGTAAACAAATAAATGGCCTTGTAGATGGGATTTTGTTTAACTCAGATGAAATCTACTTTGCGCTTCTCATTCCATTGCGATGGGACCATGTTCAATAACAGAATTTGAACATGCTGCAATGACTCCCTGAATTCACATGCTAATACAGCCAGATTGTTAGCGCTGCTGGACTTGAGTTTTATAAATACAAAGTAGTACTGGCATGCGCTGGTAAAATGGTAGTATCCCCCTAAAAGACAGGGCCTTGAAACACAGCTATTTTTCTGTGGTTCCTTAATGCTGCTTGATTTTTATTCTATGCACAATCATACCACAACAATGACTCTTATGCGTATTGATTCTTTAGTATAACATGCGTATAGAGTTTAAAAGTAACCATCACTCAGATTACTCGGAAGCAAAGGCTGACCATTAGTAACATGAAGGACTTCTCTCATTCCCTACTCTTCTTCCAAATGACATCTGTCTTGAATTAGGGTTGCCAAAGTTGTTGAGCAATTTAGGGAAATCGTCAAAAGCAACATGGGTTGCCATACGTCCAGATTTCCTGGGACCCTTTTGTGATTTCTGCTTGGACACTGCTTCCGACTGCAGTATTCCAGCTATGTCCGGGAAATTCTAGGCATATGGCACAACCCTATCTTGATTCTATTTACTTACTTCTTTAAATCCTCAACATCAGCGTGGCCTTCTGGCAGGCTTGTAATGCCACGGCCGTACGTGGTACCACCATGAAGATGAAATTGTAGATATGAAACATCAGGCTCATCTTCCGGACTTTGGAATTTTGCATGCAAACTGTACAATCTAATAAAGCTTCCAACCTTGAAATATATAAAACAGTTATTTCAGAAGGCAAAGCAAGACTCGTTGTTTTCATCTATAAAAGAGAGTTAAGGAAGATGATGCCGTGCAACTAGATCGCACTGTGCCAGAGACAACTTTTCTGAACATGTGGTCTCCTTTTTAGCATACAAATTGCTTTCAGAACTTTTTGTTCAAAACCAGCACATCAATAAAATAGAATACCACATGAGTTTATATCGCACCACCCTTTAGAAAATAAACTCAGAATAGCTTACAAAAAAGAAACGTAAAATACATTAGCACACCATAAAACAGTTCAAATTACTAAAATTGATTTTGCATATTAAAACTAGGACCAGGATTAAACAACTCAGTATAAAAACAGGGGTGCAGAATTTTCACCCCACAGTAGACAGTCAGTTAAACAAAATAAAAGCTCACCTAAAACTTAAAGAAGAAAGGACCAACCGAATCTCTATGGTTGTGGATAAGATTCACAGCCAGGGTGCAACAATAGAAAGGGCCCTGTCTTTTATGTATCAAGCAGCTGTCTGCTAATTTTTCATTCAATTTTCATTCAACTTCCTTCTCTCAAGTCAGCTTCCAACAGTTCCTATAGGAACCCATGGTCCTCTAGTTGTTGTTGGACAAGCAAGGCCAATGGTCAGGGGTGGTGTGTAGTAAACATTTATTTACTCGGAATTGCATTAATTAACTGGAGATGTTTATTGTTGTGATGGATTCTTAGTCACCTAAATAAAGGTGAATATCCCCCTTTTTCTTTTAGCACCATGCCAAGGGATCTCTCTCAAAGCTACTGCTGCTTCCTTTAACATCCATTAGATGGTGTGAATGTATCACAGACACTTCCTGCATTTCAGTGAGAGCAGAACGCCCTGCCTCGCAGAGATAAAACCACATAAAAATTAGGACGCTTGGATTTTGAGCAACTGGCCTTTTTTACTCCAAAATCCTACTTTATGGACAATTGCTGCGGTAGAACAAAATAAATATCCTTAAAGGGTGATCTTTATAGCTACCGGGCAGGCCTTGAAAATGGAAGTTTGCAGCAATGTTATTAAAGTACATCTTATGGCAGCGTAACTCAAAGAGAGAGGTCTGCCTCTATCAAAATCTATGTCTCTGAGGCAAAGAACCATGCAATTAGTTCCATGTGTGAAAGGGATGCAAACTAAATGTAGCATTTCCCCCTTGTGGCATGCAAACATCTCTAAAAGCAAAGGGGGACTTCATAAGCAGTTTGGCATAGGTTTCTGTCACTCAGTAGGGCAAGGGAGGTTGAAGTCCTACTGGTGCATAGAAAGTGGAGATAATCTCCCTGAAACTTTTGGGCTTTGCAGGATAAGCTGCAGGAGTTGTAGCTCAGCAACATCTGATCATCCTCAGACAACAGGTCCAACGGTCAGGATGGGCACTGTAATTCAACAAAACCGGTGGTGGTAGGAGGCACCATGTTTGCTACCATGGCAAAGTAATCCTCTGGACTCTAGCCTATAAAACTTCATTCATTCAAAGCATTTATATCGGACTCTTCAGCCAGAAAGGCTCCCCAAACAGCTTACACATCAATTTAACTGGTAACCACCAACTAGTGCAATCTTAAAAAAAGGGGAGAGAAAGGAAGATTAAATCAAGCAAACTTATGTTACCAGCTTCTCATATTAATCAACCGGGGTGGAAGCAGACTGCTCAAAGTTCTAAAAACAGGCCTGGTTGGGCCCTTGAGAAAAGGCTTGGTTGCTCTGCCCTCCTTTAGGGGTCTGCAGCAGGAGGTTGTTGCTCTTACAGGGTGGGGACTTGGCCTTCTGGAGCCTAACTGGAATCTGCTGGCCTGGCTGCTCTTTACTTTTTCCAGGAGATGGATAAGTAATTGAAGAGCTTCTTTAATCACATCCAGCACTCCATTTTAATGCCTCCCCTTTTTTAAATAGTAGAGGCCCCACAACAAAAACTGCTTTTGAAGCTCCACTCAGTTTCGGAAGATACTTGCTGTGCAACATTGAGAATTCACAATTATTAAAGAATAATAGTTCAAACTATAAAATAATAAAATTATATTTTATTTCTAATAGAAATACATGTTTTGTATATAACTTTTTTGCTATGTCTTGTTTCCATCTAATTAAGCAAAGCTGATGCAATCAGTTTTTTTTTTTTTTAAATGTTCACCATCTCATAACAGCCCAGCAAATCAGCAGAGGCTGTAGTCATGTAACAGTATGTGCAATGTAAGTATTTTCCGTTGGAGGGCAGCATTGTATACTTCTGGTTTGTAAAGAGCAAATTCTAATCATGAGTCTCCATACACCCACCCACACAAAATCAAGCTAGTTTTATGTTTAAAAATCCATATAAAAATTGGGTTGGATGCAAAGACAATAACCACCAGTGCTATTCTGTACAAATGCCAGGCAGAAGAGTTAGCTCAGGTTGTTACTACAGTTACATTAAGTGGGATGTCAAACAAAATTTGGCAGTGTGGAGTATACTTGGCAGGATCGCTGCTCCAGCCAGCCAGCCATGTTCTCTTTGGCAGAAACCAAAAAGGGGGAACTCATGCACGCAAAACAGTTGAAGGACTGAGCGCACTCAGTGGGCATGGAATGGCCACAGACCGTTGCAGGGTGGGTGAGGAATGGATGCATTAGTTGAGACGCCTGCCTTTCAGGAAGTTGGCCCAGATGGCCATTCCAACCCTATAATTCTATGATAATATTGTGCGATCTCCACATTTAGAACCAGCAGGACACAGCTGAATTCCCATGGAGGTTGTCTGGTGCCTTCTCTTTCATTTTGTACTATGCCATGCCCCATGTTGCATCAGGGCCACATCCCTACTGCAGCTATTTTGTGAGTGGAGCCCACATTTTCTGAAAACTCAAAATGGGCCTGCTAGGCCAAAAAGACTGGAGAGGTCTTCCAGATGTAATGGACCACAAATCTAATCACCCTTGACTATTGGCCTTGCTGTCTGGGATAGGACTGGGAGGGTGCTGGCTACAACTGGCCGTTATCAGTGATGAATAAATACTAACATCTGTATTCAGTATGAGCATATGCTGATGCATGGTCTACAAATACTGAAACAAATAAGTATTATTCTGGTGCACAGCATATCCGGGTGCCATGCAACATGAGGCTGGAAAACATACAAGGCCTGAAATGTAAATATAGTCATCAATACCACTAACCTATTTTCATCAGTAGCAAATAAAAAGCAGAAACATAATTTACCATTCAAGTAGCATGCAATTTAGTGAAATTAAAGTTTTGTATTGCATTCAAGGGAAAAAATATGCAGTGTTTTAAGACAAACTGCTGTTGGCAGGAACACAGCGATATAAATTTCACACTATGCTGTTATTAAGTGAAACATAATGTACTTCCACCACCCAGTTTTCCCATGTTTTATGCTTCTTATGTGCCTTCACACTGAGCACCGAGTTTTCAAATATGTATAATTTAAAAATAAAATTAAACATGTCATTTTCATACAGACGTCGCTATTGTCTTTGTGGCAGCACGAAAGCACAAAGCAGATTTATACGTTAAACCACCATTTCCAAACTCCAGCTGTTACTGCAAAAATGAACATGATGCTATTGAATAGAGTCACCTGCCATTTGACCAACAATTTACACAGCAACTCAATCCTGAAGAAATTTCAAATGCAGAAAAGAGGTTAAAAACCACCCCTATGGCTGTGGCCTTTGTTCAGGAAAACAGTTTAACATGTATATTCCAGTTTGGAAAAGCAACACAAGAGTATGACGGAGGCTTGCTACCATGCAAGAACCATGTCCTGTTCCGAGAAGAAGCAGAAAAGGCTGGAGGGAGCAGAAACACTACCTCCTGCTAAATGAAGCAATAAGTAGAGCAAGACATCTAGCATAAGCAACTGGCATAGCTCACTGGTGCTGATGCACACATCCTGTACTGAACATTAGATTCTGGCACTGGAAAGGGAAGTAAAGTAAGACCTTGGTTCTTGAACTTAATCTGTTCCAGAAGTCCGTTCCAACTCCCGAAATCATTTGAAAACGAAGGCGCAGCTTCTGATTGGCGGCAGGAGCTTCCTGCACTTCCTGCACTCAAGCTGCGTCGGACATTTCGCTTCTGAAAAACGTTCGCAAACCAGAACACTTACTTCCGGGTTTGCGGCGTTCGGCAACTAAGCCGTTCGAGAACCAAGGTATTACTGTACTGAGCTTGGCAGCTGCAAATGTTTGCTATCTTTATGCCCGCCTGCCCCACTATGAAAATTCTAGTACTGCTTTTACAAAAAGGTTTAAAAACAGGGTGCTAACAAAGGTCCGTATAGTTAAAGCTATGGTTTTCCCAGTAGTGATGTATGGGAGTGAGAGCTGGACCACAAAGAAGGCTGATCGACGAAGAATTGATGCTTTTGAATTATGGTGCTGGAAGAGACTCTTGAGAGTCCCATGGACTGCAAGAAGATCAAACCTATCCATCCTGAAGGAAATCAGCCCTGAATGCTCACTGGAAGGACAGATCCTGAAGCTGAGACTCCAATACTTTGGCCACCTCATGAGAAGAGAAGACTCCCTGGAAAAGACCCTGATGTTGGGAAAGATGGAGGGCACAAGGAGAAGGGGACAACAGCGGACGAGATGGTTGGACAGTGTTCTCGAAGCTACCAGCATGAGTCTGACCAAACTGCGGGAGGCAGTGGAAGACAGGAGTGCCTGGCGTGCTCTGGTCCATGGGGTCACAAAGAGTCGGGACACGACTAAATGACTAAACAACAACAACAACAACAACAAAAACAGGGCTGAAACACTGTATCTAGACCATGTTTGAATTTTGGTCATTTAAAGTTTATGATTTTTTTATTTCCTTCTGAGGAAACGAAATAGTTCAGTGAAACGAGGTTTCTAGCCGGCATCCCGTTAAGGTTTTGTTCTGTTTTAGGTTCTTCTAATTTTTTCCCTTAAGCTTTTTGATTTTTATTATTTAGTTGATTTCTACAAGATAATATTTCTAGTCGATTACTTCGCATTTCAGAGATTTTCACAGTATTTCATTTGTTTTGTGCAATTTCTCAGTTCCGTGACTGCCTTTTTTCTACTGATTATTATTCGCCTGCCCCACTATGGCTTGAGCCCTGTTCCCTAACAGTGACATTGTGTCAGGGCCCTGAGGAGTTGCGGACAAATGAAAAAGGCAGCGCTGCAGCCCTCTGGCTCTTTTCAGCAACGGGCTCTAAAGTTCTTGCTTGCTCCTGCCCAGTAACCCTAATGGGGGTGATGCAGTTGCCAAGATGATGCCAGGGGATTTTTTTGGCAAGGTGGCACTGTCAGAGCCTACTGGGGCAGCTTGCCTAAGGCCCTGGGAGAAGACAGGGCCTTAGGCAAATGGCTTTTCTTTGGGCTGTATAATTTCTATCCCTTCCAGCGTTCTCCGTCCATGTTTGGAATTATTACTGTAGTGGTAGTAGTAATGGTAATAATAATAATAATAATAATAGAATTTATATACCGCCCTATACCTGCAGGTCTCAGGGAATTCTTAATATAGAGCTCTGACATGGTGAGCACAATGTATAATGAGAAGCATCTTAGCATTAAGTTGTAAGGAAAGTCTGTACATAGGAAGTATTTATATGGAACAACCAGTTGGGGGGCCCATTCAAATATCAATAAAAGACTTCTGTGGCTCATCCAACAACTGCATCAAGGGGACCTCATGCAAGTGAGACTGGGCCTTCAAGGCGCCCTCTCACAGGCAATTCCAACTAACAGAGGTGTCAAACAAGGATGTATACTGGCACCCTTCCAATTTAATTACTATATAAATAATCCGATATTGCATCCCCTCCTTTTTTGCCCCCACCCTTGGGAATCGTAAAGTGCCAAATCTGTTCTACACCGACGACTTAAGTTTTGTTATCTCAGAACAAAATCAGATTTAAAAGGATGCTGGTTAAATTTGGACAGTTGTGTAAAAAAGAGCATCTACTAAAAATTAACTACGATAAAACCAAGGTGGTATTTGGCAAGAGGACTACCAAGTCCAGGTGAACTGGTCACACCCTAGAACAAGTACCCAGATATAAATATATAGGATTACTTATTGGTGGGAAGTCATCATGGAAACCACACCTGGAAGCAATTAAACTAATATCTGGCCATTCTACTGGGCAGCTATATAGGTTCTTCCATTCAAATGGCGGGCAGCTTAATCAACCCAGCTATTAAGAGCTTTGTCTCTAAAATCATGGCCCAAACGCTCTACGGGGCTGAGATATGGGGAACTGGTGTTGAATCTGAAATAGAGATCCCACAAAATAAATTTATGAGTCAGATTTGGGGGCTTCCCTGTGGGACACTGGCAGCTGACCTCAGAGCCAAGTTGGGCCTCCTCTCTCTTGCAGCCAGAATTGATCTAGCCTATTTGACATACTGGCGCAGGCTAAATGCAGCCAGAATTGATCTAGCCTATTTGACATACTGGCGCAGGCTAAATGCCTTCAAGGAGTATACTAAGCTCTGCAGGTTAGAGCAACTAAGGACAGGGGGCTGAGCACAAAATTGCCAAGATACACTTCAGCAACGTTAGTTAAAACTGTTCTTGTTCCTTGAAAATTATCAATATTGCAAAGCCACTTAAGAAATGGTGGACTGCACATTCAAACAGTTATTAATGGCAGTTTTAATGAGCAATAGGCTTTTAAAGAGTATAAAAATATTGCTTATAATGGGGACTACAAATTAAACTATGTTTTATTTCATTTACAAGAAATAATTTAAAGTCACGGAAGACATTTCGCATATGTTCACAACTGCATGATACCACACAGTATCTGGAATAAAGCTGCTTAATTAGGAGACCACTTATTTGTGGCATATTAAAGCAATTAGTCTTTTTCAGGCGGGGGGTGGGTTAGAAGGTTTGGCTTGCTAGGAGGATTAAACAAGATAAAAGTACACAATTTAAATAAATATAGAGCTGGGTAGCTAGCTTCTGGTGAGATCACACACATAACGTAAAGCACTGCTGAGGACTTACCTTCAGTGATTTTGCCAACTGGACATGATTATCATAAACGACAACATCCACTGTCAGGTTTCTTAGTCGATGAATGAGAACACTGTCGCCTTCAAAGTCATCTTCTCTAACAACCACCTTCCAATACAGAAAGGGACATTTTGTGCCATCCCATACCTGGTATGAAACAAAATTCATTCTCCTTTTAAAACTGGCACTTTTTTCTTTTTCTAGATTAAGGCTGCAATTCTAAGAACATTTGCTTTAAAAGGGTTGACCAAAGCCAACTGAGTTCACTTTGAACTAACTGTGCTTATAATCACAGAATGGTGGAGAAATAGGTTTTATTGGCCCTTCTGATCTCACTATCTTTTGTGAAGGTCAGGAGGAGCTTTGAGATTCTGGCTTCACCAGATTTCACCCCAACTCTCTGTGCTGAGAGTTAAAACAGTGTTGGCAGCAGGGTGGAATCAAAGACGACTACTGGCGTCTCTAGCAGAGATCTAAAAATGCTGGTGCAAGACTGGCCCCAAAGGATACATCTGGCACTTTCCTGGTTTTTATGCACCAAGATTACACAAAGACTTGGCTGACTAATTGATCATTTTTCTTTAGTTTGAAAGTGAAATATAAATGGTTTTAAATAATGAATGAATCACCTATTCAAGTAGCATTTCTCAAAATGTGATAAGCTCCTAAAATATTAATATTCCTGGGAAACCCATCCAGATGGGTGGGGTATAAATAAAACAACAACAACAACAAAAATAATTGCTATTATTGCTATTGTAACATTCCTCATACAATAAATACATTTTTTGGAAAGACTGGCTTTATGTAATCCCCTTACTACAATCTGGATCTTGATTGTCATGATCTGGAGTCATGAAGTCATGAAGACCAACAATCCAAATAATGGACATCATCTGGTTATGATAGCACACTTGATCTTAGCCAAAAGGCAAAGAAACAGTGTCATGATGTGAACATTGTGCCCAATCAAAAAGATGTGTGTATGTGCTGTCTGTGAACACAGACCTTAAGTGCTCCCCCTTCCATGAGTGTTTGGGAAATCTCCCTATTTTCAACTTCTGACTGAAGGCTCTTGTGTGGTTCCTGAGGGTCTTATTTCTAGGTTACAAGATGATTGTACAGGAAAGAATTTTGGTGGCGAGAACTTCCAGTGAACACATGGAACGAAACACTTGGCCCTTAGGATCTCACCTTGAAAATGAAGCCAAAGAGATAACTAGAACATGCATAATATATATACAGAAAGGACCTGCAAAATATTTTTTCAACCACGTTTTTTTTTATCTTGCTAGTGATAATTCCAGTTTTTAATAAGTTGCATTTTCAAAGGGAAGGGAAGGTCATCTCCTACCTAAGCATTACAATATTTCAATTTCCCAGTTCAAACAAAGTGTGATAGGACTATCCAGCACTGTGATGTGACCAGACACAAGGAAAAATAAGCTTTTAATCACATTACCTTCAGTTTGTTTGTGAAGTAAAAATTAACTAATCGGGTTTCATGGGTTTCTCTGTCCCGCCTCCAAAATTATTACCTCTTTTAGATAACTGTATTTATCTTCTGCTGTTTGTTCCTATGAATTTATTTACTTTAAAAAGTACATAAACCCCAGCAGTTAATAAAACCCTGGCTGCATCTTGTTTGATTCCCCCCCATATTCATTGGAATGGTCATTTGTGAATTTCAGAATAAAAATATCCATTGACACAAATGTCATAAGTACCCTAATAATCTAATCATTGTTATCATTCAGCAAAGCAAAATTTTGGCCTCCCCTCCTTTGTACTTTACAACTTTTGGTTTGAAGAGCCAAGCGCTGGATTCCTTTACTAATTTATCTTTTATAGTGGTACCTCTGGTTGCGGACACAATCCATTCTGGGGTGCCATTTGCACCCCGAAAAGTCCGCAACCAGAGCAGTGCTTCTGCGCACGTGCGAAGTGTGATAGAGCGCTTCTGCGCATGCACGAACCGCACAGAACGCTTCTGCGGATGTGTGAACCACGCAGAATGCTTCTGCGCGTGAGGCAAAACCCGGAAGTAAACATTTCCGGGTTTGCCGTGTTCTTTTTATTATTATTATTTATTGCCGTGTTCTTAACCCAAAAAAACGCAACATGAAGCGTTCGTAAGAAGAGGTATGACTGTACTGAAATTTTCAAATGTATGGGTGAATGTCCAAATAATGAGGCTTATTACCACTGAAAATGCTGAAATTTCTGCATGTGTCTGGTTAATGTTCCAAAATACAGAAACAGAGCACTGAATGTGGTCAGTCACCCACGGTGTAGCATGCATCTGATGTTTTGTAGCATCTCATGGGAAAACTACATGTTACACCAGTCACGTGGCCTTCAAATGCAATTTTAATTGCATGATCCAGTCTGCACTGGAAGACAAAGGATTACTCCTATGTACCTCTCCTTACGCCAGGGTTTCAATCTGGATCAATGCTTGCCCGCCCTACAAACTATTTGAAGAAGGGAGTGGTGGATGGGAGAACGAATTGTTCTGCTCAAATACTTCACACATTAAGCTAAAGGAGAGTGATAGCTCAGTGGCAGGGCACATGTGTTCCCTGCAGAAGATCTCAGGTTGAATTCCTACCATCTCCTTGCAGCACCAGGTAGGAGTCCTTACTGAAAACCTGGAGAGCTGCTGCCAGTCAGTGCAAACAAATACTACGGCTTCTTATATTCGTATAAAGCATGGCTGGCTGAACCATTCCTCTTAGGGTAGGGTTTGGGAACCTTTTCTCAGTCCAAGGGTTGGATGAGAAACTGGCCATCCTTCTTCAGCTATTTTTGACAGGTGGTTAGGGGCTGCCCGCTTGTCCATCATTTGATGTCATTAGGCTGTCAGGCGATACCTTCAAAAGGGGCTTGCTGTCAAAGCCAATCAGCTGACTTGCACCAAAGCAAGGCCCTCTGAAGTTGTCTGTTTGCAGGTGAGGTTTGGATTCCAGCCCGAATTAGGCCTACAAGACAGAGGTTCACCACCATTTTCTTAGGGGCCAAGGATACGCCTCTCTAGAGGTCAGCTGAATCACCATGCTCTTTCCCTTATTCCCTCTGCTCCTTGCCAAACATTCCCAGGACAGTTTGAAGGCATGAACTTGAAAGTTAAATGTGCAAAAACCAGCAGATACATATAAATTTCCCATACCAATCTAACGACAGAGTTTCAACGTCAAGATTCGAATATAGCAGGCTCTAGGAGTGGAAAAGTAAGTACTGTTTGGTTCTTGGCAGTGCTGCTAAGAAGGGAGAAAACTTACTGTGCATTAGTTATAACATACTGCCTTTAAACTAACATGAAAGAGCTTTTGAATTAACACATTTTGGGGGGAGCGGGAAGAGCAGCAAACCTTGAGAAGGTAGGAAGATCCGTCGAGTTTTGCTTTTCCTACAAGCTGGCAAGTGAGATCAAAATACATAGGCGGCTGGATGCCAGACAATTTTGCTGCGACTGCAGAGTTTAAAAGATTAGATGCCACCCAAATGCGCAAGTCTTCTATTGTTTTTCTGTCTTCATCTGTAAATGTGAATAATTTGCTGGACGTTCGAGGAACCACTGGTGTTCCTACAGTGCCATCAAAGGTAAGTGCTGCAAATCCACTGCTGCTAATCCCTTGCAACTGCCCGCTGAACTCTTTGATCTAGGCGACAAGAACAAAAAGGCAACGCCGTAAGGAAAAATAAAAGTGTACTGCTTTTTGAACTCAGTGGGGGAAAAGCCAATATGTAGGATGATTATCACATGCATTTGAACTAATTATCGCAAATTACAAGATGAAAGACATGTACTGGCTTAGAAAGCAACGAACGCCAGTCCATCCATCTTTGAACACATTGTTTTGTAACAGGCATGTATTTGAAAAGTCTGACTCTCAACTTTCAAGATATGAGCTCGGCAAAGCGCTCTGCCGCCCAAGATTCTTGGGGTGCACCAAGTCGAATCCAACCCATGCAAACCGGAGGTTAGTCCCAAACGGGTGGGGACATAGGTGGCGCTGTGGTCTAAACCACTGAGCCTCTTGGGCTTGCAGATCAGAAGGTCGGCGGTTTGAATTCCCGTGCCAGAGTGAGCTCCCATTGCTCTTTCCCAGCTGCTGCCAACCTAGCAGTTTGAAAGCACACCTGTGCAAGTAGAGAAATAGGTACCACCGTGGAGGAAAGGTAAACGGCGTTGCCATGCACTCTGGCTTCCGTCACGGTGTCCCGTTGTGCCAGAAGTGGTTTAGTCATGGTTTGGCCACATGACCCGGAAAGCTGTCTGTGGACAAACACCAGCTCCCTTGGCCTGAAAGCGAGATGAGCGCCGCAACCCCATAGTTGCCTTTGACTGGACTTAACATTTCAGGGGTCCTTTACTTTTTTACCTAGTCCCAACCTTAATTTGAACATATGTGACTCTAATGAAAACACTGCTAACTTATTTGGTGTGAACTCGTTGAAGTTTATTCAAACTTCAAATAGACGGTAAGGAGTATTTCATGAAGGTCATTTGCTGGATAGTACAGAATGGTTGGTGAGCTGGTCCCAAGTAAATGTGTGTCTATTACTAGGGGTGCCTAAGCTTCAGAAGGCTGACATTCCTGACTCAAACATGACCATTCTAATAAACAAATGATCAGAATATTTTAATTTTTCAAAAAAAAAGTATCAAAGATGATATTCAAAGAAATATAGCAGTTTTAAAATTAATTAACTCCTAGGTAAAGTAAACTAGGTAAACTCTCTCCCTTACTCCCAATCTCTGACATAGTTAAAAACAAAAACAAAAAGCAGCTTCTCTAACAAATATTGTGAAGCTGTGATAAATGGGTAGCTTCTGATTCTTCAGCTGACTTCAGCAATATATTCTATTACCGCTCAGGAGTGTATACAGACTAAGAAAAAGCAAAGTCTTGTTTCATCAGCTTTATGTATTTATTTGCAACAATAAGATTTGAAATAAATTGCCCCCTTTTGCTGCCTCCTGGTTCGAACTGACTCTCTAGACACGTGTGTAGAGCTACATCTCTTCTCCTTTCAAGACGCTTGTCAAAACCCACTCAGAGTTTGCACAATTCCCTTACTGCAATTTTCTTTCCTGTCCTCCCTTCCCAAAGGAGCCCAGTGCACTACTGAAATTAATAAGCATTACAGGGGAAGGTCATAGCTCAGTAAAAGCTGCCTTGCATGTAGATGGTCCCAATTTAGTTTTTCTTTATTAAATTTGTATACTGCCCTTCATTCATAGTTCTCAGGGCGGTTCACAGCATAGAAATGCAATATAAAAAAGAGAAAATACATAATAAAAACAAGAACAAGACAAAACAATACCATCCCCCAACACATTTAAGAGGGTAGCGGATGTTAAGTTTCTGCCTGGCACCTAAATATGTATAATGAAAGCGCCAGCCAAATTTCAGGGAGAGCATTCCACAAACAGGGAGCCACTGCAGAAAAGGCCAGTTCTTGTGCTGCCATTCTCAGGATCTCCTGTGGAGAAGGCACACGAAGAAGGGCCTCAGAGGATGATTGCAAGGTCCAGATCAGTTCCTATGGAGAGCAGTGGTCCTTGAGGTATTGCAGTCCTCAGCCACCTAAGGCTTCATAGGTCAGAACCAGCACTTTGAATTGGGCCCGGGAACTAATTAGCAGCCAGTACAGTTGAGCCAGGAACAGTGTATACCGTCTTGCCCTGGTGAGCAATGTCGTAGCTGAATTCTGCACTGGCTGAAGTTTCCGAACTGTCTTCAGAGGCAGCCCTACGTATCATGCATTGCAGTAATCTAACCTAGCGGTTGGGACACGGGTGGCACTGTGGGTTCAACAACAGAGCCTAGGACTTGCTGATCAGAAGGTTGGCGGTTCGAATCCCCACAACGGGGCGAGCTCCCATTGCTCAGTCCCTGTTCCTGCCAACCTAGCAGTTTGAAAGCACTTCAAAGTGCAAGTAGATAAATACCGTATTTTTCGCCCTATAGTACGCACTTTTACCCCTCCAAAAATAAAGGGGAAATGTGTGTGCATCCTATGGGGCGAACGCTGGCTTCAGGAAGCTATCCGCAAGCCTTGGGAGCCCGGCAGGAGTTCCCGCCGGGCTCCCTAGGCTTGTGGATAGCAGCCTGCATCCCGAAGCCTGGGGCGCGCCAAGCAGCGCACCCTGGGCTTCGGGCAGATATCCGCAAGCCTTGGGAGCCCGGCGGGAGTTCCTGCCGGGCTCCCAAGGCTTGCGGATAGCAGCCTGTTCTGGGGGCTGGGGTCGGGGGAAGCTTGGGCTTCCCCCGCCCTGCGCCTGGGGGGGGGGGAAATAATATTTTTTTCTTTATTTCCCCTCCCAAAAAACTAGGTGTGCCCTATGGGCCAGTGAACCCTATAGGGAGAAAAATATGGTAGGTACCGCTCCGGCGGGATGGTAAACGGTGTTTCCGTGCGCTGCTCTGGTTCGTCAGAAGAGGTTTAGTTATGCTGGCCACATGACCTGGAAAGCTGTCTGTGGACAAACGCCGGCTCCCTCGGCCAATAAAGCGAGATGAGCGCCGCAACCCCCGAGTCGGTCACGACTGGACCTAATGGTCAGGGGTCCCTTTACCTTTCCCCTAGTGGTTACTGCGGCACAGATGGCAGACACTCCCTGGCATCTTCAGCTTGGGCTGGGAGAGACCCCTGTCTGAAACTTTGGAGAGCTACTACTAGTCAGTGCAGAGCAAGATGGACCAACACTGAGCAAGATGGACCAATGGTCACACTGGCAACCCCATGCCTAATAAACTCTTGTCCCCGAACCCGCCTCCCCCACATTGCACATAAGAAATCAGTGCAGCAAATTTGCAGCGGCAAAATACTAACTCATGTATCAAGGTAAAGCAACCTGGAGCAGAATTAAACCCATAAGGTAAAATTTACTTCTGGGGTATAATAGACGCCCTGCAGTGCTTTGTGATTTATTTGTTTTTGGCACAGGCCAGAACATACGTTTGTTTTGATATAGCAGCAAAAAAATGCACCCCCCCCCCAAAACTACTGTGGTGCTGGTGCTTTTAAAGTGGAATATCCACACACAAACACTAAAACTTAATTTATTATACAGGTGAAAATGCTAAGTTATATTTTGAGAAGTTGATGGGAGCAGAACAGAACCCTGTTAGCTTTGAAAGAGAAATAATTATAGGTTCAGAGAGCGCAGTTTCCCTAAGGCTAGCAAGGTCAGAGCTGAGGCAATATATTAACCAAGGACTTTGCAGCTTGCAATTTTCGCCGCTAAAGGATGCCATCTCAATTACATGTGCCTTATGAACTTAACAGAAAGAAACATAGCTCAGGGATTTGCATGCAAAAGGTCCCAGCGCCAGGTAGGGTTGGAAGAGACTTTGGTCTGAGAGCATGGGAAACTGTTGCCAGTGTAGACCCTATTGAGCAAGCTGGGCCAATGGTCTACCAATCTATGGTGCTACTGTTAAGCATTTTACAGAATTTACTGAAACGAAGGGACAACTCATGCAGTCAAACCCACAACCAAGCCAGCACAGCTAATACAGTTGTACCTTGGTTGCTGAACGCCTTGAAAGTCGTACGTTTCGGCTCCTGAAAGACAGAAAACTGGAAGGGAGTGTTCCAGTTTTTGAACTATTTTTCGGAGGCTGAACATCTGGCATGGCTTCTGCAGCCAATCGGAAGCTGCGTCTTGGTTTTTGAACAGTTCCGGAAGTCAAATGGACTCCCAGAACGCATTCTGTTCGAGAACCAAGGTACGACTGCACAGGCTTTAAAAAAAAAATTATTACAAGACATTCCAAAATATATGTACTAAAGACAAAGTAAACCTTTTATTTTTCATTGCAAGAAGAATGTTCTGAATCCAAGAAAATGAAACTTTCTCAATAGATTGGGATTAACATATTTAAACCTATACATTTAAAATCATACTAAATAACACTCCAATCTAGGTACCTTTAAAAATGGAACGTTTGACTCTAATTGCGATTTACGATCATGTGTGATAATGGGATAAGAAGAAATTCTATTACAGAAAAAAAGATTTTGCCTTGGAAGCACATTAATTAACTGAAATAATGGGCAGATATTTTACGTGTAACTTTCAGGCACTGAAAAGAAGGAAAATTATAATTTACTTAGGCAGCTTAAAACTATAATATTTAAGTAGCTTAATTAAATTTTACTATTCTAAATTTGGCTGCCAGTTGAACCCTGACCGCAGCTAAATTGTATTCTCAGATAAATGGCTGCAAGATACTCACCCAGATACTACTGCCTTGAAGTGACCAAAGCTACACATTTAGAAACACAGCAGGAAAGCTGGCAAATATTTTTCTGCTTTCCACATGCTCTCAAACAAACAATTGTGGTTGAGCTAATGGGTGGAACTCAATTTATTGTAAATGTTTTGCTTCTCTCATAAAGAACACAAAATATGTGAACAATAACGGAACAGAAAAATGAAGTGTAGCACCCTGCTTTAAAAGTGCTCAACATTTGTTGCCATTTAAAAGCAACAAAACAAATTTGCGTTTTCTTTCATTGTGCCTTAAATTCTGGGTTATATCCAATGTTATAGGAATGGAAGGGTTAGGGTTGGTGCAGTGTTTCTTTTCCTCCCCCACTTCCCTCCAAGTCTTTCTCTTTTTCTAAAGTGGATTTTTTATTATTATGAAATACAGTGGTACCTCGGGTTAAGTACTTAATTCGTTCCGGAGGTCTGTTCTTAACCTGAAACTGTTCTTAACCTGAAGCACCACTTTAGCTAATGGGGCCTCCTGCTGCCGCCGGAGCACGATTTCTGTTCTCATCCTGAAGCAAAGTTCTTAACCTGAAGCACTATTTCTGGGTTAGCGGAGTCTGTAACCTGAAGCGTATGTAACCTGAAGCACATGTAACCCGAGGTACCACTGTACTTTATTTTAGAATGATGAGGAAAGGGATTTCTGAAACTGTATACATACACTTACACGCCATTGGCTTGTGCGTCGGGAAATAAATTAATGGATAGGAATTCATACCAGGAAATGGCAGGAGAGTGCTGGAATCCTTGTGGCTCACGAGAAGACCCACCCCAGGGCTTGAAGAGGGCACCAGTGAAGGTGAAAGAAGCCTCAATGTGGAAGCCCCTGAGGTGCAGTGTAGTTTTGTTTAGGCTGCTCAGCTTCCCCGCCTAACAGCTGGCGCATGGGGTAGCACAGCAGCTGCCACAGCCACTTTTCTACACGCCCTCCAGCTGGCCCTAGAACTTCAACTCTAGCTATTTTGGTCTGGATTAGAGAGAGAGCAGGAGAGAGAGATGGAGAGCAGGAAATATGGGTGTTTACAGGCTTTTTAGAGGGCGCTCCCCACTTATGCAATTGTCGCTTATGCGCACAGGGGCCCAGAACGTAATCACGGCATAAGTGGGGACTTAAGACTCTGCACTTTATCAGCTCATTATAATTCCTGTATTATAACGCTACACACAGTACAACTCTAAATTGCGAAAGCAAGATGTACCTCTACTGCTTGGGAGGGTGCTGTCACAAGAGAAGGAAGAAGGGTTCAATGCCTTCCTTGCTTGTGACTTTCCTCTCATTGACATATTTGGTGTATCTGTTTCTGAACCTAAAGGACTGGGAGATTAAACAAACCAGCCTAATTTTGCCTAATCCAATTCAAACTGGGGCAAATCTGTTGGATCCAAGATTCCAAGGCAGAAATGCAACTGATGGTAGCACTGCTTCTGCATTTGATCGGATTACAAAACAAACAGGATGCTCAGGGCTTGATGTTGGGAAGGTACCTTCAAATGTTTTAGAATACAGAATATATTTGGGTATCTGGCCAAGGAATACAGACTGGGATTCCCTGCCAAGCATTCCTGAAACATGGTTGCAAAGACCTCTTTGTGCAACAAATCCTCTAGCTCCTCTTGCTTCTTACCTACCTAAGTCTCCTCCATCTTCCGCAGCATGTAAAAGAACCTGGTCTGTGTTTGGAAATGCACCAAATAACCTGATATGTGAAAGGACCAACCTTCAGTATCAGAAGTCCATGATAAATATGATGACAAAAACTGAAGAAACAGAAATGGATACCTCTCTACAATGAATGGTAAATACAGCAAAGGTACCTTTATTCTGTGAAATCGAACAATGTCACCATTTTTGTAGATTTGTGGAAGGGCATCTCTGTTTACATTAAAAAGTGAACATATCAGCTTGGCATCCGATTGGTCCACAATGGTTATCACTGAGCAATAATCTGTATAGGAGAAAATACAGATGTAAAAAAGTTGGCACCATATTTCTAAAAGCATAGATTAATACATAAAGGTAACATCATGAGAATAAATACAGGGATGAGATTATATGCTTTTAAGAAAGCAATACAATTTCCTAAGATTAGCCATGCCAGAAATTTTACACCTACCTCTGTTTAAAAAGTGCATGCATTTTCAGTAATCTTGACATGTCGACAGATGTGAATGGGTTTGAAGCTTTCATAAAATTACTAACAAATCTTAACATTGAAGAGAAAGTATTTTATTTAAATTCAAGGTATCAAGTACAATGGTCAGCCAACCCTTTAATTGGCCAAGGGTGACAACAACACTTTCTTCTGTGACACGAGGCAAGAAGGAATGATTGCCTAGCATGCAGTCCAATTTTCATTCAGTACTGCTCCATTTCTTCAAATCTAGCTTAGATGTTAGTCTCTGGAGAGCTAATAATTGCCAGTTGTGTTGCAAGTCTCTTTTTGCTTAGCTTTGCCCTCACTTAAAACAGCCATATTAAAAGGGCAAATGGCTTAAACCACTTCCTGTTCATGCAGAGTAAGAAGTAACAGACTGTTTAGACTTTAGAGAGAGGCATTGGAGGGGGTTGAATTAAGATGACTCATGGGGTCCCTTTCAACTCTATGATTCTATCAGCACTCAAATCTATAACAAGTTCGGAGCACACCCTCATTGATACATATCTTCAAACCCCTTAAGAAGGCCAAACAGTTGGGAGAAACATGTATGTTCTGCAAAATTCTTATAACTTTAATACACTAATATCCTGCCTTTCTTTTCAAAGCAGCACACAGCAGCAAAGGCATCAGTGATTAAAATAAAACTAATTAAAATACAATAAAAGCATATTTAATACATCTAAAAATATCTTACTATTATAACATTTATATTCCACATTTCCTTCAAGGTGCCACTCTATCCAAGTTATTCTCACAACAATCCTGTGAGTTAGGTTAGGCTGAGAGATGGTGACTGGCTGAAGGTCACCCAGTGAGTTTCAAGGCAGATTGAAGATTTGAAGGTGTTCCAGGTCATGGCTAGGCAAACTAAGGTCCGGGGGCCGGATCTGGCCCAATCACCTTCTAAATCCGGCCCGCGGACGATCCGGGAATCAGCATGTTTTTACATGAGTAGAATGTGTGCTTTTATTTAAAATGCATCTCTGGGTTATTTGTGGGGCATTGGATTTTTTTTCTTCCCAAAATATAGCCCCCCCCCAAAGCTCTGAATGACAGTGGACTGGCCCCCTGCTGAAAAAGTTTGCTGACCCCTGTTCCAGGTTTTAGTCTAATAGTCTAACCAAGAGTGGTCCGACACGACTCTCAGACTGCATGCAGCCCTCAATCCCTTTTCTGGCGGCCCTCAGCAACTTTGGATGCTCCAGCCCTCACGGTGCCTTCCCAAAGCTGGGTAAGTGAGGCACTGGACTTTGGGAAGGAGGCTTGAGGACTCTGTCAGGTTCCTAGACTTCTCCTGCCTCCTTCCTAAAGCCTAGTTAGCGCATTGATCCTCTAAGCACTACATTCCATAACAGTATTGGGTATCAATGCCAATTTTCATATTCAGGACATCATCCTTTAAAAAATGAATTTCTAATGCAAAGGACAAATCTATTATTTCTACGGTCTCTGGCAGAAACAACATACAGTGGTACCTCGGGTTACATATGCTTCAGGTAACATACGCTTCAGGTTACAGACTCCACTAACCCAGAAATAGTACCTCGGGTTAAGAACTTTGCTTCAGGATGAGAACTGAAATTGTGCTCCAGCGGCGCGGCAGCAGCAGGAGGCCCCATTAGCTAAAGTGGTGCTTCAGGTTAAGAACAGTTTCAGGTTAAGAATGGACCTCCAGAACAAATTAAGTACTTAACCCGAGGTACCACTGTATAACCTTTGGGCTAAAACAACACCAGGTTTCGATATAGTTTACTAGATTTGCCCATCATGCTGGAAACCATTAACATTTTTGGATTAAATAGTGCTAACTAGATCTTAATATGTAAGAGATGAAAAATTAAACTTCCTGTTAGGTATTAAAGAAACAATCTTGAGCAATTCACCTAATTTCCTCTGTAAGATTAAGTGCAAATTGCTTTGTAGTTTTATTGCAAGGCCTGCTAGTATCTCTAAGCCAAGCCTTTAATCAAAGAAGTCATGAATATAATAGTCTACAGTGTATATTACAAATACTTATTTGTAATTCTCTGCCACCATTGCACAACACACTCTAGGATTACAGTTGTTGTTGCTGTTTAGTCGTTTAGTCGTGTCCGACTCTTTGTGACCCCATGGACCAGAGCACATCAGGCACTCCTGTCCTCCACTGCCTCCCGCAGTTTGATCAAACTCATGCTGGTAGCTTCAAGAACACCATCCAACCATCTCATCCTCTGTCGTCCCCTTCTCCTTGTGCCCTCCATCTTTCCCAACATCAGGGTCTTTTCCAGGAGTCTTCTCTTCTCATGAGGTGGCCAAAGTATTGGAGCCTCAGCTTCACAATCTGTCCTTCCAGTGAGCACTCAGGGCTGATTTCCTTAAGAATGGATACGTTTGATCTTCTTGCAGTCCATGGGACTCTCAAGAGTCTCCTCCAGCACCATAATTCAAAAGCATCAATTCTTCGGCGATCAGCCTTCTTTATGGTCCAGCTCTCACTTCCATACATCACTACTGGGAAAACCATAGCTTTTACTATACGGACCTTTGTTGGCAAGGTGATGTCTCTACTTTTTAAGATGCTGTCTAGTTTTGTCATTGCTTTTCTCCCAAGAAGCAGGCGTCTTTTAATTTCGTGACTGCTGTCCATTTCTTCCCCTTCTATTTGCCAGGAGGTGATGGGACCAGTGGCCATGATCTTCGTTTTTTTGATGTTGAGCTTGAGACCATATTTTGCGCTCTCCTCTTTCACCCTCAATAAAAGGTTCTTTAATTCCTCCTCACTTTCTGCCATCAAGGTTGTGTCATCTGCATATCTGAGGTTGTTGATATTTCTTCCGGCAATCTTACAGTATAAATTACAGTATAATGATTATACTGTATACATTATACTGTATACATTATACTGTATACATTACCGTATACTGGATTACAGTATAAATGAGTTAACTTTGAGACAGGAATGTCATGTTCAACAAATAGTTAGGGAATAGTTCCAATGAGGTGCTTTAAGCCAACAGCTAATACTACAAAAAATATTTTAGTTTATTTTTTTACTTACTATAAAGCAACTATTCTCAAAGGATTAGTCCCGAGAAACAAAGCCTAAGAAGTATGATACTGAATTAGCTGCTTGTTTAACTTTGCAAATTATCTTCAGGAAATAGCATCAAAGTACAGTTAAGTGTGCCACAGAGGTGTAAAAAGCAAGTAGGAATAATACATTTTAGCAAGCTCATTAAAATCTGACAACTTGTTTTAAACCTATATACTGTGTACCTCACTTTAATTAAAAAGGTGAAAAATTGCATGCTGGCAAGATATAAAGTTCTAAGTAACTCAAATTTAAATCTAATATTTTCAAAACTCAACAAATATACAGGCTGCTTCAAGTTACAGCTCTGTGTGTCACTACAGGGTTATCTCAGTTCAGACAAGCAATACAGTACACAGTGTAAAATACTTTCACAAAACATGGGATCTCGCCATCGCTTAAGGAGAAAAACCGTGTCAGTTCAACAGTGCAAAACTAATGCTAATACATCCTCATGGATTACCAAAATCTGGCACTGAAGTACAACAAATGCTTATAAAAATTCACTCTACCATATTCTTTTATAATGTGTTGGATAGAATGCATCTCCAAGGTGACTTTCTTTCCATAGCCTGAAGGCTCTTCCTAGCACTCTAATAATCTCACCTTACATTTTTGTTTCAAAACATGTGGGATTGCAGGGGAAAAAACAACTTGAAAGGAAACAGCTTGCATGGCTCACAGACCTAAAGCCAATGAAGATTCCAACCATTATTATTATTATTATTATTATTGTTATTATTATTATTAAATTTGTATACTGCTCTCCATCTGTAGATCATGTTCTCATGCCTTAATAGTTAGTTAAAAAAATCTATCTCATGATTTGGAATATAGGCAGTTAGCCTGTCCCAGGTACCTTATCACATCAGGTGGCTGGAATAGTTATATCCACTTAGGCTTGTTACTGCATATGAAATTGTATTTTAAAACTTCTGTGATGATATAAGGTAAAAAAGGTTAAGGACTTCTGGATGGTCAAGGTCCAGTCAAAGGTGACTAATGGGGTGCGACACTCATCTCACTTTCAGACTGAGGGAGCTGGTGGTTTGTCCACCGACAGCTTTCCGGGTCATGTGGCCAGCATGACTAAAATGCTTCTGGCACAGCGGGACACTGTGATGGAAACCAGAGCGCACAGAAGCACCGTTTACCTTCCCACCGCAGCAGTACCTATTAATCTAATTGCACTGGTGTGCTTTTGAACTGCTAGGTTGGCGGAAGTTGGGACAAAGCAACAGGAGCTCACCCCGTCACACGGATTTGAACCGCCGACCTTCCAATCAGCAATCCAAAGAGGCTCAGTGGTTTTGACCTCAGCGCCACCCATGTCCTGGTTCTAAATATTGAAAGTATCCGGGCATGTTGTATAGAAAGTAAGTGAAACCCACCAGCGCTGGGAGTCTAGTTCATACACTTACTAGAATAGCTCTTCCATATATGTGGGTGGGGGACACTGAACTCTCTAATACACCTATCACACACATACAATATAAGGCAAGATGTATGTCATAGGTACACATGTTTCTCAAAACACTCCTCCCTGAGAAAGCACATTTTCTAGGAAAGACATTCCTAGAAATGGCCCCTAGCACAAGACAGATTGAAAGTCCAAAATGCTATTCAATATGGAAATCAGTAACACAAGAAACACAAGAAACACAAACTACATTTAGTATTTTAGTGGCTAAAGAAGCTTTGAATGACACACTGGGTGCAGTTAATGTTTAACCTTTCGGAAACATCCAGAATGGATTTCGGGGTAGACAGGCACACCAAAAACAGAGAAACTTTAATAGTTTTGCTATAGCTATTTGAAAATACATGCATACATATATGCAAAGATAAAAATACATGGTCTATTTCCAATCTCTATGGGGCTTTCCACTGAGACCAACAGACATCTACAGTTTTACATGTATGCCAGAAGCAGCTTCCCAACTGGGATCTGCAGTGCTAGCTTTCGAGCAAGTGGATCACAGTTGCTTACCAGCATGAGCAAGGTGACAGGATGGGTTCTGCTGGTCACGCCAACTTTCCTATTACATCGCCCTTCCAGTAAGCAGCAGCGACTCAGCTGCCAGGAAGTCAGTGTAACAGCTCCAAACCAAATTGCAAGCCATTGTTGATCTATGTATTTTAACCAATCAATTCAATGGAAGTGAGTGTTCATCTTTATTTGATATCTCAGCTCTCTGTTCAGGCCACTGAACAGTGTACTTCCCGCCGATAACAAGTTTGGGCTTTTGTAGAGTTCCAGGTTGTATTGTCTGTGATTTAGATCAATTGGGTTAAGTTAGTTTATTCTGTAGTGAGTCACAAATTTATGCCACCATGAAATAATTTAATTGTATTAGCATTGTTTAAGAATGGCAAAAAAAAAAAAAAACCCTATGGAAATGACTTTAAGCAGTAAGTTGTAACACCTGACAAAATTACTTAACAGCTACTGTAAACTTGCTTGGCTTAACTGCAAAAGAAGGAACAGGGAAATATTAAGCCCTCACAGCAGTAGTTGGAGCTACAGTTACTTCTATGTCATTAGAGACCCTAGCCTGGATCCAATTGCCATTTCATGGATTAAATTTTCTACCATCAGCTGTGAAGTCTTCAGATATCTTAATAGGGGGTTGCCAACTTTAAATTTCCATTTGATATCTTCAGTTGAGAAGTGCCCTTTCTGCAAGTGATTGTCTACATGCCCTTTTGGTTTTGACCATTTTACATTTAAAAGCTACAAGTGGTGAGGAAAGAGAAATAAGAGGATATCTGCCTATCCAGAAATAACATTTTAAAAATCAGCAACACCTTCTGCAATATCCTAAAGGATAGAAAATCATAATCTTTTCAGCTCTCTGCAGCTCTCCAGAAGGGGAAAAAAATATCCCTATTAAAATTAAAGACTGAAAATCTCACAGTGAATGCAGTTTTCTCATCCATACAGACCTAGCATAACTAAGCATCAAAAGATGCTGAAGTATAAGAATCTAAAAGTTTCATCTTGGCTACAGGAAGATAATTCCTATACAGAAAGAACTAGTAAATGTTAACCATATTGATATAACTTGTACATCAGAATTGTATTTGGCTTTACATACTTTTTTCTTAATGTTCTACAAACTACATAGGAGAACAGCAGACACAATATAAGATATGGAGGCCTTGTTCACACATAACACTAAGCCATGGATTGCTTAACAAACCATGAGTAAAACCACAGTTGTCTCACAAACAGACAAGTATGCTTGTTTCTCCAAAATTTTGTTTGTTTTCCAATTACTAAACTCACTCCTTTATAGATTGACCACCTGAGACGCTCGCCAAACAAACATGGTTAAGGAAGGGTGCTGCATTCACACATAGCACCAGATCATAATTCACACAAACTAAGGTTTGCAAATAATCAGCAAACCATGGCTTCAGATTATTGTCAGGAAACAAACCATAGTTAAGCTGCTAGGTAGGGTTCACACAGTGCTAAAGCTATGGTTTAGCATTATGTTTGAAGCAGATCATTGTGTCCTAATAATGGAACACTATTTTTCAAACATCTATTTTAAATCTATTTCTATTCCTAAATTTAATTCAAGAAGAGATAGACGGCAATAGCTGATGTGCTTTATGAGTACCCTAGTGATCCAATGAGGGCGGAACAGATAAGTGGGCTTTTTACGAAATTTACAAGCTACAACGCAACTCATTCCAGTTTTAGCCAAAACAAGATCTTGAATCATTCTAAAGAAATCCGTTAGTAAGGGTTAACATCACAAGAAGGTAGTCAGCCTTTAAAAAAACAGAACAAAACAAAACCCAGCACAACCATTTCCCCAAATGGTCAAACTTAACAAATTGTTTGTAAAACGTATCATCTACAGAAGTATTGCTTTTGTTCCCCGAGATCCTGGCAAAAGGAATAAGATGGGTTCACTTAAAAAAAAAGTTTCCTGGGAATTCTGGATAAAAATAATTTTCATTACTGCCACAGTCTGCCTTGCCAGGATACAAGATCACCATTATGAAAGAAGTTGACCAGTTTAGAAAGTTCTTTCTATGACAGTAAGCTTTCTATCATCAGCTCAAATTATCACAAAACTAACGACCAATATGCAAATCGCTCCATTCCCTCCAAAATTAGAGCAGACACATTATTTTCCAGGTTCATGCCTGCAATATAATTTTAGTTTATAAGTGAATATGAGATGAAACTAATGATATTCATTTTAATTTCATTTTGTGGAAAAATAGACAAAGCATATGGTGTAATATCTGTAATAACAGATGGACCATTACCAGTTCTTGATACCAAATTTAATTACCCTATCCATTTTTTAAAGGTCTGACATATAAATTATTGTACCTCATGGTGCTTTATTCTTTTTTTTTTCTTAACTGGGATGTGAAAACACTTATCTTTCAATATTTCCAACAGTTTTATGTTTAAATACCATTACCACAAACTATGTTAGGTTTGTGCGACTAAAGTCATGTTCATTTTTAAACAAAAGATGTGAAGGAAGCAGATCCATTTTCAAACACCATGACCAAAGACTATGTTCCTCTATTTGTCAACCCCAAAGAGCAAAGAAATCTCTCTTGAGTTTTTCACCGTTGCATCAAATGGTGTGCAATGAATAGGGAGGTTTCCACAGCTTCTCAACAAATGAATAAAACTTTCAACTATTGCCGAAGACATTGGGCTGCCTAATCTCCTAGCCACGCTAGAATTAATTTCTTTCCTTTTCAAAGCTAACCATGGTCAGCGTTTCATCTGCCCTAACCACTATAAACTCCAAGTTACGATACAACAAGCTCCCATTTCCAAACTTTGAATTGGAGTTTGTGAGAATACTGAGCACAACAGGCAACCCCCATTTTAGGCGCGACCAATATGTGCACAATCGCACACAGCACTGAACCCAAAAGTTGAAGCGGGAATGCCATAAAAGAAGTCACTGAAAGGGTGGAATAGACCAAGGTGGCTCACCAAGGTGAATCTGAGCAAGCCTTCTTTACAGCAGCCTTTCTCAACCTGTGGGTCCCCAGATGTTGAATTACAACTCCCATCACCCTTAGCTAGCAAGGCCAGAGCTCAGGGATGATGGGAGTTGTAGTCCAACAACATCTGGGGACCCACAGGTTGAGAAAGGCTGCTGTACAGGAATCCAAGCATCCAGGAAGCATTGAGAAGTTTATTCGAAATCATAAAGGTAAAGGTAAAGGGACCCCTGACCGTTAGGTCGAGTTGCGGACGACTCTGGGGTTGTGGCACTCATCTCGCTTTACTGGCCGAGGGAGCCGGCGGACAGCTTCCGGGTCATGTGGCCAGCATGACTAAGCCACTTCTGGCGAACTCGAGGAGCGCATGGAAACGCCATTTACCTTCCCACCGGAGCAGTACCTATTTATCTACTTGCACTCTGATGTGCTTTCGAACTGCTAGGTTGGCAGGAGCAGGTACCGAGCAACGGGAGCTCACCCCGTCATTGGGATTCAAACCGCCGACCTTCGGCAAGCCGATCAGAAATCATACAATAACCCATAATCGACTTCTTGCTCATATTTGCTATGAGCATTTTTTTTAAAGCAGAACACTTTGTGAGTTTTATATATTTAATAATACATACCCGTTCCTTTGCATTTATATGGAGGCTTGAAGAATTTCACAGCACCATAGAGGTTGACAATAGTCCCGCCTTTAACAAGATTCAGAGGGGTGTATGTATAGCTGGGGGCAACAGACTAACAAGACAAAACAGAAAGTGATCACATTCAAGTCAAATTCTGTAGCTATTTTAAAGCGGCAAGCTTCTTCTTCTTCTCTCTCTTCTTTTCTTTTGCCAAAACTTTCTTTATGTACAGGGCCTAGATATCAGGTCCATTAGGAACATCAAAGAAAACATTTTTCTTTGCTACTGGTCATTCCATCAGAATACTCCTTCCTCCTTTGGAAGAATTCCCCTATAAGGAAAGGTTATAACAATTTGGGGTGGGTTTTTTTTGTTTTTTTTACTGTACAGAAAAGGTGAGCGGGGAGTGGATATGCTTTGTGATGTATAAAATGATGTTGGGGTGTGTGTGACTATTTTCATACTAGAATCTGGAACCATCCAATGAAGCCGATGTTAGGAAATTCAGCTCAGAAAAAAGAAAGTGCTTCTTTATACAGTACATAATTAAACTATGGGATTTGCTCTCACAAGAGGCAGACAGCCACCAGTTTGGGTGGTTTTAAAGGGGGATTGGACCGATTCATGGAATATAAGGCTATCAATTGCTGCAAGCTATGACTGTTATATATGTTGCGAGTCTGATCCTGCAGGACTCTTCTTATGAGACAGCCAAAATTATTTCCTGGCAAACGGCAAATATCAGACCATTCCAGAAACACTAGCTTTTTTTGCTTTTCTAATTTAAATAGTACATCTGCAGAGTTAAAGCTATAAAACGTTTGCAGATACAAATTTGTTTATTATTTCAAAAGGCATTAATCTAAGTGAAGGAAAGAAAGAGACCAGAACCTATATCATAACCTACAAGAATAGATTAAATAATTTGTTTAACTATCCTCAACAAACCAAACTTCAAAACAGTGTAAAACCACAACATGTTTTGATTAAATCCTTCCTATATTTAATAAGCACCTACTCATTTGTTGCAAATTCATCTTGTTATGTTCTCTGACATAACAAGCTAGCTTGGCCATTGAAGCAAATTCCTACATTTTCTCTCTGTATTTATTAATGGTTGGTATCGTTGCTGATCTCCATTTTTCTGCCAACAAAATTATTGTTGCCAACACCATACAATGACACAGATTCCTTATGTTGCTGTATAACTAAACCATCTGTATAGTTTAACAGAAAAAAACCACCGGGTCCAATCCTAAGTTAAATGTTTCTAGTACAATAGCCCTGATTAATTTCCGTAGTTTTAATAGTTATCACACATGTTGATTGATCATTTCACAGGATGTTTAAAAAACCCATTTGCTGTACATTCTGTGGTTGGAATAAGTGTGTAAGCTACTTACATGAGAAGAGAAAACACATGGGTCCAACATATAGAATGAGAAAGCCAACTGATTTTAGATCTTTGCCAATTGATTTTTGACACATTTGAATTTCAGTCTGGCCCTAGTGAGTATAGAATCTTGCCAACCAGTTGTACACATGTCAAAAAATCTACAATGTTGCCCTCTCCTGATACAGCAAATTTGCTTTAATAAAGTTTTGGAAAGGCTGTTGGAACACATGAATTTTTGTACTTTCTCCAGTAACCAGCAGAAGGTGCCACAGGCATTTTAATTATTTCCGTCATCACCTTGTTCTGCTGGCTAGCCTAATAACAGTCATAATACTTGCAGACCACCTCCAAGATGTTCAGGAAATTAGCACACTTGCCAGAGTTTCTGAGCCTCTACAGCCTGGTGTATTTTTTTATTTAGTGGGGCTGCTTGAAAAGAATTTTTCTATATACGTAAGACAAATTAAAGTAGCTGGAAAACACAATCATAAAGCATTCCCAGCCTCACAGTGTAAAGAGAGATGTCCAAAGGAGGAAACCTAGCATGTGTCTGGATTTATTCAAAATTTCTGGACACCTATTCTCTGCCTTATTCCTTTTCTAATTGTGTTCCCTACAGCAGCTAATGCAAAATTATTTTGAGATCTATAGCCATTTCTACAGACCATCTTAAAGTTGCTGTAAAACTTGCTTCAGGCACTGAACTTGCGATGCCTTCTACAATTTAAAACAAAAATAAAAGAAACACCAAAACAAAACTTACCATGGCTACAGTTTCTGAACCAGTAATTGTATTGGATGACCTAGTACACACCTGCGGAGAAAAACAGAACTGAAGATTGTTAGAACAAACTGGAAGACAATAAGGATCATTTCAGATTTTTTATTCCAATATTTTAAGATGGACATTCTTTGTTCTTTGAACAAATATATGCTGGAAGTTAATCTATTATGTATAGGTAACTTAAAAGATAGAAATAATAAATGTATGCATTTTTATTACATTGCAATTTAAGTGAATTGTCTTATGTCAAACATATAACAAATGCTACCTAAATATTTATGTAAAGCAACAATTCTAATCAACAAACATTTATATTTTTATAGACTACTTTATCTCAAATATTTGGTGTTAGTATAAAAAAACCACAAACTAACAGAACATAATAGTTTAATTTCTATTATGGCCAGTATCAAAATAAAACTGAAGTAAAGAAAATTCACTAAAACCCCTCCATCCTTTCACAACTTAGCCCTGAGCTCAAAAGGGCAGATCAAACGGGTAGGATTTAAAATATTCCTAAAGGTTCCCAGGCTGTACTGGGATAGATTGAGGGATAATTCTTCCCTTGGTAATTTAAATTTCTGTATTTTATAAAACATACTGCACAAATGTACTCTATGGCTTCCTAGGACCTAGTTTGCATGTCATGACAAGCCAGTTTACCTGGCTTCGTTTATGAGTTAATAATGGATGTGCCTTTATTCTGCCATGCTGGCCCCAGAATGAATTCTTCCCATCCACAGAGCTCAAACAAGCCATACTATGGCTTGTTATGTGATACAAACCCAGACAGTGATTTGTTTGAAAACAAACCATGGTCAAGGTTTGGATGCCACAACAAACCATAGCATTTTTTTTACACTGCCATGTGGATCCAAAAGGGAACTTCACTCAAAGTACCTCTTTCAATTTAAAACAAGTCTTTAAGAAATAATATGAATTAATTTATTATCAGCATTTTTAACACTCAATGCTACAAAGATACAGTAACAGAATACCTACTTGGTGGGTGCTTTCTCTGCTTTTAATTTTCCTCTTCATTTTTATCTACAAAAGCAACAACAAAGTGTCTTCAAAACTACCCCAGCCTACAATGGCACAAATGAGAATCTCTCAAGAATTTCAAATTTAAATTTTATACAAAATGTGTGCATCTCATTTTTCATCTTTCAGTTGCATTTGTCAAAACTACTTATCCTTGGGTACTTAGAGCTGCCTCTTTTTTTACTGGCCCTTCTCCTGATCTTAAGAAAAGCTTTATTTACTCAAAATTGTTTCAAGCTGCTCCGATAGATGCGAGGGCAAGACCAGAAAAGAGGTGGCAACACTATCAGTAGTCAATGGAATTCTGCCCAAGGTTTTCACTCCTCGCTAAACACATTTCATAAAGATAATACAAGAGTATTCATACTGGACTCATACGTTTTATAGCATTTAAGATTTGTGCAAGTTATGGTATTGATTTTACATTGGTGCCAATTTAATCACTATCGTATTAGAGATGGGCATGTCTTACCCAGCTGCCTGAATGATTACTGTGCTTTAGGGACTTCACTGAACTTCACAGATGCCTACATTCCCCAAACTATATTTTGTGCTTTGTGAATTGTAAAACAGCAAACTGGATCTTGTGGGCGCACATGAATGTGAAGCCAAATCCTTCAACAAAGAGAGAGAATCCCTTTTCCAAATCCTTTCTGCTTTTGAACAGGCTGTTTACTTTGGGCAGCAGACACTTATCTGGACATCTGGGATGCATCCACCTAAGTACATGCCTAAACTCTGGTCAGCTTGACTGTAGCTGTAGTATTCCCTTGTTATTTCCCCGCACCTTGCAAACTGTAACCTGCTTCCCTTAACTCTCCATCCCACCCTTACTGTATCTGTATTGTTTAGAAACAAAAACTACCTTAGGGGCTCCTGTTACCTGTCTGTCAGGCAGGCAAAGGGCCAAAACAGGCTTCACACTGCTATTGGTGGTCTTCCAACTCCCCCAGTATTCATGGTTTTATCTTATGAAAAGATAACATGTGGCTTCTCTAACCAACATCAACAATTCCCAAAGTAAGAGGCGCTAGAATTCTGGACTCCCTTTATATCAGACTATTTGTTTATGGGGGCCTTCAGGTATATGTAAGCTGGTTGTGGTCACTCACTGGGGATTCTGCATACACTTAGGGCTGATCCACACTTACTTTTCCCTGGAAAGGGCGGAGCAAAGGGTAAATGTGGATAAGCCCTTAAAATCACTTCACGTGTTAACTGTTCCATGGCTGAACCCTGGCACTGAAAATAGCTTAGCCCTGGTGAATGAATCCTGGTTTAAATGAAATAATGTTTGTAAGAACAGACTTGCACAAGTGCCTTTTTAAAACAATGAAATGATTAAAATCTGGCTGCTTTCATTAAGTTACACATTACTGTTGTAGAAAACATCACAGGGTGCTCCAGGAAATTAAAGATGCAAACCCCAGGAATACATGCAACTGTAAGAATCATTTTAAAAATAAAGGTTCTCCTAATGTTCATACTGCTAAGCTAATACAGCATGATTAGGTCTTTAATTCCAATCTAAAATGAACTTTTCATTAGTGGAAGCAAACAGCACATGTGCCTTTCGTTTTTCTCAAAAAGGGTTTGTTCCATGTTCATAAAAATAAAATATGACTAATAGCCTTCCCTAACCTTGTACCCACAAAACTTTTTGGACCACAACTACCATCATCCTTGACCACTGATTGTGCTGGCTGGGGATGATGAGGGCAGTAGTCCAAAATATATGGAAGGCACCAGGTTGGGGAAGGAATTTCAACCTAGTTATCCAACACCCAACCTGGTGAAGCTCAACAGGTGGAGAGGAAATGTTGAGGGAGCTTCACCATTCTGACATTCTGGTTGTCACATAGCTGATAAAGGCATGCTGCAACCATATCCTAATTATAATTAACTACACAGCAAACAATGAACTAAACATTAGGTTCAAGAGAGTACATGACGAATTGAAAAGAAATTTGTCTCCCTTTGGGCATGCAGAATTAGTTGCATAGCTGCAATATCCGAGTTGCCTTTCAGTTTGGCAAATATTCTACACAAATTACAAAAACCATCCCTCCAAGTACTATAAGACGGGCTTACGGTAACATGACTTTTTGAGATCAAAGCTAAAATCCATTGACTATAGAAATATTAGTTCTCTTATCCATTCTCCAAAACAAAGCTATTACTATGTAAATATATTTACAGCATATTTGCTATCCCAGAGAAACGTCACGAAGCATCAAAAAGATACGCTGCACTCTGCCAACTCAGCACAATCTCAAACTTTCCAAGTCTATGTCAATTCAAGGCTAATACTATTGGAAATCTGGCAAGGGGCCATTCCCCCTTAACTAAAGCAGCAACACTATAGATTGCTACTACCGTATTGGCTTGAATATAAGCCTTTTCCCCCAAATTCCGACCATGAAAAGTTAAAGTGCGGCTTATATTCGGACATTATGGTATGCAGCCAGGAGTGCGGGGCAAACAGAGCCGGGAGTGTGACAAAGCGGCGCCCGCCCCACGCGTAGTTCCCTGTCCTCTCCCCAAAGGCCGGGAAGGGAGAGAGCGAGGAAGGGAAAAGGCCGCTGGCAAAGCATGGCTCCCCCTCCCCCCAGTACGCAGCCAGAAGCAGCGAGGAATGGAGCGGCTTATATTTGGGTGGTTTTTTTCTTTTTTCCTTTCCCCCCTCCAATTTTAAAGGCACGGCTTATATTCGGGTGTGGCTTATATTCAGGTCAATACGGTACTTCAATACAGCACAACTGGATTTATAGGCCCAAGTCATAATAGTTAGGGTTCCCATAGCAACATCCAATACTCTCCCAGGGGTATGTGCATATACGGTAAAGGACTCCTGGACGGTTAAGTCCAGCCAAAGGCAACTATGGGGTTGTGGCGCTCGTCTCGCTTTCAGGCCAAGGGAGCCAGCGTTTGTCCACAGACAGCTTTCTGGATTATGTGGCCAGCATGACTAAACCACTACTGGTGCATGGAGGACAGTGACAGAAGCCAGAGCACATGGAAATGCCATTTGCCTTCCCGCTGCAGCAGTACCTATTTATCTACTTGCACTGGCGTGCTTTCGAACTGCTAGGTTGGCAGGAGCAGGGACCCAGCAACGGGAGCTCACCCCGTTGTACGGATTCAAACCGCCAACCTTCTGGTCAGCAAGCCCAAGGGGCTCAGTGTTGTGCAAATACATCCACATATACACACATATATAGAGAGAAAAACATGAATGCACCAAACAGCATTTCAGACAAGTTTGTTCTGGATCCTGATAGGATGCAGCTAATCACTAAAACAATGTATTTGTTGCAGTGACTAACAAAACAGAAATTTTGAATTCTTACAGCAGAATGTTTCTGCGTCTGCCTTGCTTAGATAAAAAGTGAGGCTCTTTCCAAGCTGGCTGTTCCAGAACTTTGAGGACAGAATACTCAGAAGCACTGCAACTGCCAGCTTGGAAACCTCCTAATTTTTTTATCAGCGCAAATGATGAAGGTGGTGGAACCTGAGACATTTTGTTACAGTAATGTAAAATTTCTGCTTCGTTAGTCACTGTAATAGATAGCTAGATAGATAGATATACAGTCGTACCTCGAGTTACAAACGTCTCAGGTTACAAATGCTTCAGGTTACAAACTCCGCTAACCTGGAAGAGTTACCTCGAGTTGAAAACTTTGCCCCAGGATAAGCACGGAAATCGTGTGCCGGTGGCGCAGCAACAGCAAGAGGCCCCATTAGCGAAAGCACGCCTCTTGTTAAGAACAGTTTCAGGTTAAGAACGGACCTCTGGAACGAATTAAGTTCGTAACTAGAGGTACCACTGTAAATAGATATGCTTCTGCCCCTGCTCACATTGCTTACCAAGCTCCCTGCTGCTGCCACCCTCCTTGCTAGTCCCATCCCTCCCTTCACACCTCACCCAAATCCACCATTGCCTCCTTCAGCCTCCCCATTCCCACAAAGCAACTCCGGCCTCTCTAGCTCTGCAGCTCCACTCCCTCAAGCCTTGCACTCCCTTCACAGCCCCTTCAAACCCCTTACCTGCCCCAGCTCCTCTGTGTCCCTCTATTTCTGCTTTACTCAAACTTTTTGCTGTTCTTTAAAACTCCATCTTAAATCCTGCCTCATGTTTGCTCCCGTTCCGACATCATGCAAATCCAGGATTGTGATGTGGCTCTACAAATCCTCCAATGGAGGCCCAGCAATGGCAGCCTTACATTTTTATGTAGAGAAAGAGAATAGGACTTTACACATTTCTAAAACTACCCTATAAACACTGCTAAAGAGACAGAGCTGTATGAGCTACACACATTTCAAAGCATTTGAGTAATGCTAACTTTCTTCCCTTTGGGCAGCAGCAGCCCGCGTAGTGTGTCAGATTGCTTAGAAACCCTGTTCAGTATCAAAAATAGTTTTCCACATGCCATGAACTCTATGATTGCTGCCATCTGATTCTTTATCACCAGAAATAGCTCAGTCGGTAAAGCATGAGACTCTTAATCTCAGGGTTGTGGGTTCGAGCCCCACATTGTGCAAAATATTCCTGCATACAGGGAGTTGTACTAGATGACCCTTGTGGTCCCTTTCCAATTCTAAGATTTCTGGTGGGTTGCTGTTTGATACACAAATGCAAGTCTAAAGCCCCCTTAGACACTCAGCTGTAGCCAAGGGTTTTCTCTGAATCCCAGTTATTAGTATGCTGAATGGTAAAGTTCTTCTATCTTTTTAAAGCAGACCTTGATGTACTTTTTAGTAATCCACAGCCTCTCAGACTCATTAAGAAAGTTTTGGAGTGAAGGGAGAGAAGAAAAGCTTGAAAAACATACATAAATAGTTGACCCAGCTTCGTCAGAGACTTCTAGCCGACAGCAATGCCCATCAGCTTCACTGGTGGACTTAGACACGCTGAATCCAGCTACCACCATGATGTCCTATAGAGAGAGAAAAAATGCATCATTATTGCTATTAGTTATCATATTTTCGGAGTACTTAGTGATCAGATCATTTGATGAAACATTTCCCTGGATCTTCAGAAAATATGACAAATCCCTGCTGATTAGGAAAGCCTCTGGAAAAGAAAAATGTAAAGGTATAATGCAACCAAAGTTTCAATATGAAATATTTATGTACAGGTCTAAAATTTCCACTGAAATGTGTCATTAACTTTAGCTGGGATAGTGTTTGGGGAAAACAAAGGCCTTAAGTGATCTCCATCGAAATAGTTTAAATCAAGAATTGCACGGGGGAATATTCAATGTTTGGTCATATTTGGAGCAGACCCACTAAAATCAATGGACATATCTATAGATTTTAATGAATCTACCCTGAGCATTAGATATTACCCACTGTCAAAAATCAAATGGTATCAATCATTTTAAAATTAATTCTTGAGATTCCTGCATTTGCAGGGGGTTGGACTAAACCACTCTTGCGGTCCCTTCCAACTCTACAATTCTATGATTCTAATTACATATTTTAGAATACACAGGTGTTCCAATCATCTGCAGGTCATCAGTGAACTTAGATGTTGCATTACGAAAACTTACAATTCATCTTTCATAAGACTAGGGCAATGGGGCAAAGCTTCATGGTCTGAATGTTGCCAGTATTTACATAACAAAAGAGTAGCTAAATATTTTATCTGCGACAAACAAGAAGTTGATAAATCAAGAGGATCGATCATATGGAACTTAAATGGCACTTTTTGAAAAATGCACCGAAGAACTGGTTTCTGATTTCTGACTACTGGAGTGAGCAAAATGGCCTTTTCGGTACTGTGAAGATTAGGGGGGAAAAACAACAACTCTTCCAACAAAACAATATTAGCAAGCTGAAAAATTCAAACAGCTTGAAAGGTGATGAACAATCTAAGTCACTTATAGAAGGTATTTGTTATAAAAATTCTGAGATGAGTGCAAAACTCAATTCTAAAAGGTCTCTTTGCCAGTTGTATAAATCAGAAAGAAAAATAGTTACTGCAATCCCTCTGCTTCCTCCTATACAAATAAGGTATTTGCTCAACAGCCAAACTGACGTTAACGTCAAAGGATGTCATTTTATGGAGACTGACTTTTGTAATGGCACTTTCCGTTATAGCATTTTTAAGTAGTGTGGGTTTTTTTTTTTAAAAAAAGAAATGTCAGTGATTTGAAATCTAAGCTGAAGCAATAATGGAATAACACTAGCATAAAATAGTCCCAGATTGGGGGTGGAGGTTATGTACCAGTTTGCAAGAATAAGTAGTGTAGAAAGTTATTATTCAAACAGGAAAAGTAAAACACATACACACATTTTCAGATTTCTACAGGAAAGTGACAAAGGATAAACTCTTTCTGTGCATGTTTTTTTTGAAGCTAATGTCAAAAAGGGGATGTAATCTACATAAAGTTAGGTAAATGCATCCCACTAAAATCAATATAAGTTCTACACTGAAATCTGATTCATTTCAGTACAACATAGTCAAACTTCACTCTCTCCGATTAGTGGCCCGAATCAGAAAGAATAGTTAGCAAATCACTATTACTTGATTCTGCTATTATGAGGTCCCTATCTGATCCATCCAACATGGCAAAGGGAGACTCAGGAGGGTTGTGTACCATTTGCAGATTTTTAGTTTAAAATAAAAATGGGGGGATATGACAGAGCAGTGGTCCCCAATTGGGGGTCCGCGGACCCCAATGGCTCTGCGGAACCCACCCAGGGGGTCCATGGCACCATTCACAAAACAAAAACTACCATAGTGTAGTTACTTAGGTTTTCCAACTCCACAGAGGGATGGTGGTATACACAAAATTCAATATATACTTATACCACAAAGGGCTTAAACACAACACCATATTTGTTTTTCCAGTAAAAAAATTAGCTAGGCACATTTAGCACCTATTGGCCACTTGCAACCAAGTGAAGATGCCTGGGTGAAAGGATGGTGCCTGACAGCTCCACCATCTGGAGGTACATGCTTGGGGATCATTGGATCTTGACTGCTTTGACACACTAATACCACATCCTCCTGAATTCTATCAGTTACATTTTATCTGCACAATCATAATGAATTTCAGGAACCAAAATGGCAACTAGGCATTCCACTTTGGCAACTGTAACCTTGGTTTAAGGAGCCATTTGGCACCTAGCTTATATATCTGAATTTCTAACACTAATTGGGGAGCATATGGTATTTAAAGCTCACTTTTAACAACAGGAAAGAGAAACCTCCACCCATTATCTAAAGCAAGTGTGAAAACCTGTAGCTTGGCAGATGTTTTTGGACGCCCAACTACAATCAGTGCCAGGTAGCATCCTCTTGCCAAATGTTAATGATCTATCACTCTCAAAGACTGGCGTGTTGAATAATCAAAATCAAATGTAGTAACATATCATTTATATTGATGATATTGGGGAATGAATAACAAACCGCAGAACTGTTAAATTAACACATCATTCAGATAGGTTTTGACTATGCAGATCAGGGAGTGGGATCTGTGGTCCTTCAAATGTTCTTGGACTCCACCTCCAATCATCCCAGACAGAATGAGCGGGGATGAAAAGAACTGTAGTTCAGTAACAGCCAGAGGGGCCACAGGTTCCTAGCCTGCGAACTTAAACAGAAAATGTGTAGAGAATACATTTACAATCTATAATTGTATTCCCAAGTTACTAAGAAACATGGACATAACTTTCAAAAGGCAAGCCCCAAATTTTAATTACTGCTTGAAGATCTTAGTTTCCTAGCTCAGGATCGCCCAGAAAATTACCTTGCACCAGCACCAACTGCAACTTTTGGAAAAGTACACTTGCAAGTTTTGCACAGCTATATTCATTTCAGCTTTCCTTGCGCAGGTAAAATTATTGACGGGACAGGCTTTGGGTCCTTGCTAAGTTTAGAAAACCACATGTGAACTGTGGCTTTCTCAGGGTCAGCCTTCTTTAGTAGAAAAGCAATTAAGAAGCAGGTCATCAAACTACTGAAATACTGCTTCACTGCTTTCTTGTTATGTCCAAACATAGCACCTTGTTTATCCCTATCGACTCAAAGGAGTTACAGCAACAAGGCTGTTTCTAGTTAAGTCAAGCCAAGCTGGTGGCTAGATTTAAGTGCGCTCTCTCTCTTTCTGAGAGTCAAATGCCCTGTATATTAACTTCTTCAGTGCTGGCCCAGATCCACCGGCTTGCTCTGAGTGAGCAGCTGGATATCTTTCAGCAGTGAAGAAGTTAAAGGTACTGGATTTTCTGCATGCAGCACTTGCCATCTAAGATTGCAGATGTCAGCATTTATTGGACCATTAGCAGTCAGGTTAAAGAGAAAGAAAGAGGAAAAGAGAGCTATCCACGGTGCCTCTCATCCCTCAGCTTATTACCCAGCAAACTCCCATGGAAGCAGGGAGGGGGTGAAAGAGAAGGTTGATAGACTGCATTACTGACAGTCAGGGAAACTAAGCTAGATACCTGAGAAAATGAAACTGAGCACAGGGAATTGCAATGCAAGTTAAAGGCTCCTTTACCTTAGTTATTTCTGGCATTGTCTGAGTTTTAAAGTGCCATCTCAATTTTGCCTGCGCCCCCTAAGTACTTCCAGATGGATGTGCTCTTCCTGAGAAGCATTTTAGCCTCAGCGCTTCATCTTTTGCATTCAATCTTGTACCAACAACACTCCCATTAGCTTTTACTGCATGTCTTTTGTCCGTGTGTTTACTTGATTACAATAAATAAAAGAGCTTTCTGATTAAAGCTGAGTTTTTAGCAAACTACGGCGCTATGATTGCTCTTTTTGCTACTTCAGCAGTCTCTGATGATATTCTTTTAAATGACTGAAAACCCCAAACCTTAATGTTTTCTGGGGTGGGTGGGAGACTGCTAACTTAAGTGATACAGACAGATTCAATTGTTTAAAAAGGATTAGAACAAATTCCAACAAAGCTTAATGTGCAATGGAATTACCAGGGTGCAATGAATTTTATTCTGTACCACCATTTTGGGAGGGGGGGCAGAGGAGTTAGTTATGCCACTGTTCCATCTTCCTTTCAATAAAAAATGAGAAATAACTCTGTAACAAAACAACTAAAAAAATCCATGGGTAAAGTTTCTTACATTTGAACCACAACCTGCCTTTAAGAAATGGGGAGGGAAAACCTTAAGCATTTGTAGACAATCTTCCTTAGTTATCAAAAAGGCACCTAACTCAGGCACAATATCTGCTTGATATTTCAAAGAAGCAATTTTAAACTGTCTTCTGTTGAGCCTTTGGCTAATTAAACAATCTGACCGTTTAAACGGGGGGGGGGGGTGTTTGCTTGTTACCATGGTTTGTATTTTTGTGTTTTTATATTGTAAACCACCCTGTGATCCTTGGATGATGGGCAGCATAGAAATTGAAAGAATGAATGGAGGAATCTCCAATGAACTCAAAAGGACATATGTTCCAAAGAGCCACACACAGAACTGCAATGTAGACTTCTAAAATTGGTGTAAAGTAAGTCATAAACCAAAAGAGCTATGCTCCTAGATATTTTATTCCTGTTCCAGTATTTTGAGATGTTACTGCATGCACATTCTATTTTGGAGCTTGGTTGCCAAGTCAGGGCTGGACAGCTGACTAGACTAAATCCCCCAATTTAATAGGGATAAATTTTAGACTGGTGCAGAATGAAGTAGTTCAGAATGTAATCTAATATTTTTTTAAGTTTTACACCAAGATTGCTCGGCAACTTGACTGTATAGTTCACGAAGAATGGTGCTTTTGCTCTTAGCGCTAAATTCTGAAATGCACCATTACCAATGTAGAAGATATAACACGGGTATATCTTCTACATATGCCTAATATGCAAGCATCAAGCACATTTGGTGCTATATACTGCGGTATTCATAGGAGCAACAATATGCATATACTCTCCTATGTTACTGTTTACGTCTCCCATTGGGGAACCCCCAATTCCTCGCATCGCAATTTACTATTTAAATCAATGACTTTTTTTAAAGAAAGAAAGTTCAACAGGCTTGCTAAAATGGCCTGATCACTAAATTTTGTGTTTTTTTAAAGGAACTGAGATTATCCTCCCTCTATCATATTCATAGTAAGCCTCTTAAAAACCACACACACAAGTCCACATAACCACGGCTCAAGACACAAGGGAGCTGTGAATACTCTGATGCTAGTTCAACTCTGTTTGAAGTTTCCAGCTCAAGGGCTGTAGTTTCCAGTACAGGTCCTCAGTACTGATCTCTGTGATCTCCTAATTGGTGCTTTGGGCCTTGTTTTACTACTTCTCCTTTTATCAAGAAGGGCGCAAAGCGCTAATTAAGTTTCAGACACTTTAAACGATGTGGTAGAAGAGTTAACTTGAAATCATTTCTCAGTGCCCAATCTATACCATAATACTGGCAGGTAGACCACCACTACCACAGGGCCTTCTTTTTCTCTTTTCTTTTTTTCTTTTTTCCTTTTACACATCTTCTGCTGTGCTGGGATAAAAGTCAGCAAGCAAAGCTGCTCATTACAGATTGGGGGGGGGCTAAATAAAAAGACAGAGGCATGACCGGTAATTACCATAACTTTCAACTGGGCAGATAACTAGTCTTAAGATGTTTACTTATAAAGGGCATTTAGGGGGGAAAGGGGTGTTCAGCTATTCAACACCCTTTTGAAATGTGGCTCTATTTGGGGGGGTTGTTATTGGGTTATTGTTCTTATTTTGATTTTATATATTATGATCTTTTCTGTGAACCACCCTAAGACCTCTGGGTATAGGGCGGTATATAAATTCAATAAGTAAGTAAGTAAGTCAAGTTTTCTTGGGGTTGACCTACTGAAATTAATAGACCTAACTTAGTCATGGACATTAATTTCAATGGGTCTACTTTGAAAAGAACTTAGTTGAAGACTACCCATGGCTCATACTGGACTTCAGAAAAAGAGGCTAAATAAATATTCAGGAAGTTAAAGCTGGAAAACAGTTTTAAAGGCAATCCCAGTTGTTCCAGAATATGTAGATAATGGGTGTCTGCTGTATCTCAACAAGAATGCTGTTCCATGGAATAGGCAGCCCCACTAACCAGTGTTAGAATCTCAAATATATAAGCTGGGAGCCAAATGGCTCCTTAAGACAGAGTTACAGTCGCCAAAACAGAACGTCTAGTTGCCATTTAGGGGGCCAGACGGATCAAAAGTCATGTTTTTCAATACAACTTTTTGGTTCCTGACAGTAAGAGCTGTTCGACAGTGGAATTTGCTGCCAAGGAGTGTGGTGGAGTCTCCTTCTTTGGAGGTCTTTAAGCAGAGGCTTGACAACCATATGTGAGGAGTGCTCTGATGGTGTTTCCTGCTTGGCAGGGGGTTGGACTCGATGGCCCTTGTGGTCTCTTCCAACTCTATGATTCTATGATTCTATGGTTCCTGAAATTCATTCCAATTGCGCCATTAGAATATCACAGGTAGAATGCCACAGGATGTGTTGCTATTGTGTGAAAACAGACAAGATCCAAGGATCCCGAGGCATTCAGCTCCAAATGGTGCAGACGTTAAGCAAAATGCGCCTGGTAGCTTTCAGAAGCTGTAAATTGACCTGCTATGCATTACTGTGGAGCAGGCTTCTGAGATCTATAGGCCTTGAAGGAAAAACTGTCCTGCAGAGCAGATCTCAGTGACCTGTTGGGTATGTAAGTAACTACAGCAAGGGTTGGAAACTTGTGCTCCTCCCCAACCACTGGTCATGTTGGCTGGGGCTGATGGAAGCTGGAATCCGACAACACCTGGTTCCCTGTCACTGAGGTGGAAGACAAGAGTACTATTTTGAAGAGGTGCTTCTTTCTGTTTTGCCATTAGGTGATGCCATAGTGCTGTTCAAGCAAACAGTACTATATCCGATTCCAGTGACGAAAAGGAACACAAATACAGCTTTAATACACGAAATACGTGGGTGAATAGCACCCAGGGATTTCGGGCCACAGAGGCTACTCATTTGAACACCAGTCAGCACCTTAACCCGGTCAAAAAGGCAGCCGCATGCATTGATCGTGTAAACACACTTAGGTCAACAAGATCAGTAGAAAAACAGTTCACAAGAAGAAATAAACATCTAAGAATGAAAGAAATAAAAGCATTTACCCCTTGATGTACAACGCTGGCACAATCCTCTGCCAACTTCCCAAACATATAAGTATTGACAGCACCGGCCTTAGAACATGGGTTTTCTGACTCTGAAAGACACACAGGAACAGTGACACTGTAACATTTATCTGAATATACTAAAGGAAAGCCTTGCAGCTCTGATTTCACTAGGGTATCGCAAATGCTGAGAGGCCAGGGACATTAAAATACACTCACACCTGTGAGCTATGAAACTAAGGGGGGGGGAATCTCTGTACATAAGGCGGCTCCCGAAAGGCCAGAGTAAGGACCACAAAATGAGCTCTAGTCTACCAGGCAATCAATGAAGCACACAGCAGAATTCTGTAGTTGAAAGTCCAGATAACCTTGCTGGCGAGGACCAACATAAAAAGAAAAGATATATGATAAGGACTGTGAAATTTTAAAAAGGGTAGAGGAAGGCCTAGCCTCTGTTGTCTATGCTCTGGTAACTTTTAGGATAGACTGCTGCAATGCATAATATGTAGGGCTGCCTTTGAAGATGGTTTGGAAATTACAACAGGTGCCGACTTCAGCAGCAAGATGGCAAGCTACCAATTCATTTTCTGGCTTGATTCAAAGTGCTGGTTTTGAGCTATAAAGCCTTCTACAACTCAGGACCCCAGTAACTCCAGGACCACCTCTCCTCCTATGAACCAACCCAGAGCAACAGCTTATCATTCAAGGCCCTTCTTTGTGTGCCCCCTGCAAGGGAGGTATTGACAAAAGAGCAGGCTTCTCAGTTACGACTCCCCAGTTATGGAATGCTCTCCCAAGGGAGGAGCCACCATTACTTATTAAGGCCCAGGCAAAAACATTTCTTTTTCAGCAGGCCTTTAGTTGTCTCTTTCAGTGGGATGGGATGTTTTAGGCCTTCCTTTTTCAAAAATATGAATGCTTCAGATTTTGCTCTCTTAGTGTCATGTTGGTTTTACTGTATTTGCTATTCTTTTTCTGTTGTAAAGTGGTTTGAGGTATTTTGTTTAAAAAGGGAACGGTAAGTTAAATAAATAATAATATTATAATTTGAAAAATACTTTTTGAGTTCAGAATTCCAGATGCCTCCTCAAATAAACCATCTCTCCCATTTGTAAAAGCATATGACCCTGGGTTGTTGGGTTTTTTTAGATATTCCACTATATCTGTTATTATCCCCATTATTGCAGTCCCACAACTTTTGCCTGTGGTGCACAACTAGCACAACCAATAACTATATGTTAAAATACCTTGAAGTATAATCTTGAAGAAAGATGTCCCGTTTCCCACTTTACTTAATGGATAGGAAGCAGCAACTGTTCCCTGAAATGAGAAATTGGGGGTGTGTTGTCTAATTAGCAAGTTGAAAATATTTCCAATAGAAAATATCAATCATATTCATTACTTGACCCAGACCTTTCGGATATGTGCAATATCTCTGCGACAGCAGCGTCACATCAGGTTTTACAGTGGCAGAACAATTAACAAAGTGCTTCATAAAATATACAAACCTATAATCGCTTTCTTCATCTGTATCTAACAACCTAACTGCAATCCTGAGCAGTCAATCGTCAGTCTCATTTTACAAATGGGGAAGTATGGTGGGACCAACTGCTCAATATCTGTCCGCTACTTTCTGGACCAAATAATGCTGGTAGAACAGAGAGTCCTGTGACTCTCAAGAGAGTCCTCACTAACTGGCAACATTCATTTTTATGGTTTGCAGCTGACCAACAAAAGTTAGGCTTCCAGCTGCATGACAACCACTCCTACTCCAACTACATTCCATATTCATTTGTGCTCAGCATAAAACATGACAAACTTAAACCCTCCTCAGGTGTTTAGCCTCCATTCCCAACCCTTGTGCCAGCCCCATACTCCAATATCCCTGTGGGAAAGTGAACGGACTTTTTAAGCACGTTTGGTCGAACAAGTCTTGAGCAGAGGTGGGGAATCTGTGGCCCTCCAGAAATTGCCGAACTACAGTTTCCATCACCCCCAACCAATAACCGCCAAGGACAATGGGAGGTATAGTTTAGTAACATCTGGAGGGCCACAGGTTCTTCACACCTGGCTTAGGAGCTTCCGCACAATCATGGATCCTGTATTACAGTGTTTCCCAAACACGGATATCCAGCTGTTGTTGGACTCTCATCACCCCTAGCTAGCAGGACAAGTGGTCAGGGATGGTGGGAGTTGTAGACCAAAAACAGCTGGAGACCCAAGTTTGGGAAACACTGCTGTATTATCACAGCTCCTGTGTGCAAACAGGCTTTTAACCTGGTCAGCTTAATGCCCTTTGTAGCACCCTCCAGACCTTCCTACTCAAAGCAGGACAGTTTGAATGGAATGTACACACCTAGCTGCACTGTGATGTTAAGATGTGGGTCTAGTGCAGGTGCCCCTAGCTGTCTACACACTTTTTGCCCAAGAGTTTTCAGCCTGAATGCCCAAAATACTGCTCTTTCTTGCTCTGCATATCCCCCTCTCTCAACTAAGGATTAATCCCTGTGCATATGAAAAAATATGGCCCATCTGAACCTATGCCATGGCAGCCTTTAACTTTTAAGGAGTTTGGTGTTTTAAATTCAGTAAATGTTTATTTATTTACATGAGCAGTTCTCATGTAACCAAATAGTTTGTCAAACTGTGTCGTGTTTCAATACTGTTATAGAAAATATCTTTAAAAATCATTGGGCTGGATCTAGAGTCATTATTCTGTGAAAGGAAAGGCTCCTTCCATTTGTGGGAGGAACATTTGCCCAGCAGTTCCCACTTCACGAAGTCCAAGGGAATTAATTTTTGCTGATTCACTCTGTAGTGACTAGCAAAACCTAGCCATGCTGTACTGGAGGGTCCCCCAACAATCCAGAGCAGCTTTTCGGGGGCAAGAGGAGCAGGAATGTGTAAAAATCACCTCCCCTTTCTTCAGCAGAGCATCACATAAGCATAACAATGCCACAAATTTGGGCTCCAAACCTAGCTTCTACATTTGGTCTCTCCTTCCTTGGAAGCTTTTAAGCAGAGGTTGGGCGGCCATCTGTCATGGATGCTTTAGCTGAGATTCCTGCATTGTAGGGGGTTGGACCAGATGACCCTTGGGGTCCCTTGCAATGGTATGATTCTATCATTCTTTAAAAAAAATATAAAGATTTTGTACAACTCTAAGATTCTATGATTTCTCAGAATAGACCAACCAAGGTCCACACTTTTAAGCTTGCCATGGCAAATTTTCCACTGCTCTCTGCGGATCATGATGCGCCCAACCTTTCATCCCAACCTTGGGGCAGAAGAGTGGACAAATATTGTCCCTGCAGATCTGTTTCACTTTGTACTTGGGAGTAGTGTTCAAAATTCGCCAGGTGTGTTTTGCACCTGACTGTCACTCACTTGTGACCAATAAAGATGTCTGGGTGCCAGGATGGCGCCTGATGTCTGCACCATGCCTGGGGATCCTTGTATCCTGACTCTTTTCACATACTAGCAACACATCCTGCAGAATTCTATCTGTGATACTTTAGCTGCACAAAAAAAATCAGGAACCAAAAAGTTGTACTGAAACGACGACTTTCAATCAGTCTGGCCCCAAAATGGCAAATAGGCATTCTGTTTCAGCAACTGTAACCCTGGTTGAAGGAGCCATTTGGCACCTAGCTTATATATGAGCTTCCAACACTGCTTGGGAGTACGGTGGTACCTCGGATTAAGTAATTAATTCATTCTGGAGGTCCATTCTTAACCTGAAACTGTTCTTAACCTGAAGCACCACTTTAGCTAATGGGGCCTTCCGCTGCCGCAGCACGATTTCTGTTCTCATCCTGAAGCAAAGTTCTTAACCTGAAGCACTATTTCTGGGTTAGTGGAGTCTGTAACCTGAAGTGTATGTAACCTGAAGCATATGTAACCTGAGGTACCACTGTACTGCAAAAGAGCAAGGCAACTGTGGGGATGCTCCAAGCTACCCAATTCAGAATGTGGGCCAGATCCGGAAATAATTTTCCTCACCTGGCTTGATACATGGCATATTCTTTGTCTCTCTCAAGAATAGCGGAATTTATTGAACGCTGCACATGTTATACACAGCTGAAGGAGTCAGGAGTAGTTAACAGACCTGTGTATTAAACTGCCTGAATTACAACTTGCCTTTTTTCCTCTGGCATCTTTGCTTGTACACCAAGGATATATTTGTCTGTTCTGAGCCTATGTATTACACGGCAATCACACTTGAACAACAGTAAATATGCAGTACAACCACTGTGATCATCATAATATATTTGAAAGCTGCTTCCAGGTAGAAAGCAGATGTGCGTCCTCCAGAGCAATCCCTGGCACATTAGCAGATGCCCCAATAACTGCTTCTGTCAAATTAACAAGAGCTAGTTTCCTTGTTAACCGTGTTCTTTGTGCCAGCCTTTCACAGTCACCTAGTTTGTTTGCTTCTTCAGGCAGCTTTCAGATGCATTAAATTCTCTCCTCACCATGAGGCAAGTTTCCTCGGAGGAAATTATCTATCACAATCAAATGGAGTACTGAACATATATTTTGTGCCAGCACAACGAGAAATGGCCTCTCTTTGAACACAAACCAACTGTGGCAGTGATCTTTAACAACTTTAAACGGCATTCTCCCCCCCCCCCCACTCCACCTCAGTCCCCCATATCTATTTTAGAAATCAGCCATAGATTATATTCCTGTACCAATACATTCCACAGGACTGGGCTGATGACACTAAACGCTTGGTTTCTTGTTGTTGTCAGATGCGCCTTGACAACTTGGGGGATAAAGAACAACTCTCCTGCAGATGATCTTAGTAAACAAGCTAAGATATAAGGGTTTAGGTGATCCATAAGGTACCCTGGACTTAAGTTGTACAGGGCCTTGTAAATTAACACAAAGACTTTGAACCTGGCTCAGTAGTAGATGGGCAACCAGTGCAGATGTTTTAATAAGGGTGTCACATGTCATCAGCAGTATTAGAAACTCAGATATATATAAGCTAGATGCCAAATGGATTCTTAAACCAACGTTACAGTTGCCAAAACGAAATGTCTAGTTACTATTTTGGGGTAAGACAGCTCAAAGGCCTGATTTTTCAAATGATGGACCAACTGTGATTAATTCTCAGTTAAACATCTGGCTAGTTCAGATGACAACCCTGAGCTAAGTTAAGAACTTTGAGGACTTAAAGAAGAAAAGTCACTCGATCCAGGTCCTATTCAGACCTCTTTTTCCTAATGGTGACTACTCCTGCTCAGGCTGTACAGAAAAAAGCATTTTGGTTCCTGAAATTCATTCCGATAGTGCAGATAAAATAAATCTGATAGAATTCTACAGGGTGGGGTATGAGTGTGTGAAAACAGACAAGATCCAATGATCCCCAGGCATGCACCTCCAGATGGTGGAGATGTCAGGCACCATCCCGGTGCCCAGGCAGCTTCAATTGGTCACAGGTGGTCAAAAAACAGGAGCAAAATGCACCTGGAACCTGGCTAATTTTGAACACTGGTTGTTTAAATGCCCCCCTCAGCAAGTGACTAACATTTCTTGACCAGAGGGCCATGTTCACTCTTGAACCCCTAGCAGGAGGACGGTACGTACATGCTGGCAGGTGTGGCCACAGTTAAAAAAGAAAGAAAGAAGGATGCAGCCCTTTTTGCAACGTGTGGCTTTCAATCCAAGCAGAAGACGCACTGTATACCCTACAACCGTTCTCCATGCCTCACTGAAGGTGGAAGTAGCAGCTGAAACACTGATATGTTGCCAGGGTCATTGTCAAAAAGCTCTCTTCCCAAACTGCAGCTTATTAATCGAAAACTGATATTGAGCCTTGGACCTCCTTACACCCTCCATACCTCTCCTGAAGCACTACATCCAAGGAATGTCTCCAATGTATGAAGATAACTACTGTGATCTTCAAGCGCTAGAGATAAAAAGGTATTCCTGGAGAAGAGTGTGAATTAAAAATAACTGACATCACAAAAATTCATGAGTCTTTTTAACCACCATTTTACCCTACATAAAGAGTAAAAGGTTGTATTGATTTTTTCTTTTGTAATCCTCAGTTTGCTGTGACGCAAAAATACAATATTTGGCTTTATGCTGTACATGGAGATAAAAGTAGCAAAGAAACTGTAATGATGACCGAATTGCATGTTCTCGCTGAAAAGCTTTTTTCCACAGCAAACAAAATTCAAGTTTAACAGTACTATTCTCAGCTTACATCCCCAAGTGCCAGTAATGATAAAAGGCTTTAAAATTAAATTCATCATCATCATCAAATTAAAGCAAACATGTTGAAGAAGACTGGTCTCATGTGTTCTACTCTGTAAAGTTTATACAAGAGGCCTAATGTACCACCAGCACTAAGCACTTGAATTTACAACACATTTGTAGCCACAGATGGAGCAACACAATGCGGATTCCTTGTTCTGAAACAGCTACAAGACAGCTGAAAATTATTGCTGCAAACTGTGCTGATTTTATGTTGAGGAAGTAAAAAAGAAAAGTTACAATGTGGTGCAGTTCCTCCAGTTTTTTGAAAAATGTCCATAAATCTGGAAGACTCCATTGATTCTTTTATAAGAAAAAAGAACTCCATTAAGTCACCAGACTGGAAATTTTTTTATCACAACACTTTTTTAAGTTTATGCCTTAAATGAAAAGCTCCCAAGCCATCTATATTTTTCTTCCAAGTTTACTAATGGTTCCAGTAATAAAAAAGCAATGCTAAGAAGAGAGAGCATGCTATGACTATATGGATAAGACAAAGCACAGGATATTTTAAATTTTAGCAACACTCAGTTAAGACTTACTTTCAAGTAAGCTGGTTCAGGATCTGACTATAAGAGTAGGGCTACCATGTCTCCAAAAAGGAAGTGAGAATAGACAGGGAGCAGTATACAAATTTAATAAATAAAATAAATATTCACAAGTACAATGGTACGTACCTCGGTTGTCGAATGTAATCAGTTCTGGAAGACTGTTGGACTTTCGAAGCGTTCGACAACCGAGGAGCAAAGGGCGGCTGGCCGAGTCAATGGAAAAAATAGAAAAACACAGCAGAAGCTATTCGACTTCCGAGATGTGTTCAAAAAGGGAAGCAATTACTTCCGGGTTTTCGGAATTTGGGTACCAAATCGTTCGGCTTCCGAGATGCTCGAAAACCGAGGTATCACTGTAACTTGTTACAATTTTTAACTGATTGAGAAGTGCACTTAAAATTACAAGCTTCTGCTTAAAACGTCGACAAATCAGGAGAGGTTCACATGTATATGGGAGCCTTCACATCCTTAGGGCAGGAAAGATCAGTGGAGCAACTCTCAAGAGTGTTCAACTAATGGAACCCAAGTTAACTTAAATATATAAGAAGCTGATGGCTACAGAAAGAAGGCAGGCAAAACTATTGCATAAAAGAAAATCTGAAGCAACTGTCGCTGAGAATGTCACTAGATCTTGCTCAGCACTAACCTAGTGATAAACAGCTTTGAGGGTTGTTGTTGTTTTTACCAATAAAGTGGTGTGTAAGTTTTATGAAACAATAAAATATTAAATAAATAACCTAAGAATAACACTGCTGGATCAGATGGAAGGCCTATCTAGTCTAGCATCCTGTTCTCACAGTGATGAAACAGATGTCTACAGGAAGCCCACAAGCAAAAACTGAGCACAACATCAGTCTCTCCTAGAAATATGCAGCAACATAAAGCCTATTAAAGCTATTCCCATGGCTATAAACTCAACCGTCCTTTAAAAATAGCAAGAAAAGGCCATGGCAGTGCTACACAACTTGTGACCCATGAAAATGATCCCAGGCCCCAGTCATGTACTGCGGAAGGCAGGGGGTATTGTTTTGCTATTTTTGTTTTGACTAGTTACATGTGTTTTTACCTTGTATTTTATCCTGTGAACGGCCCTGAAATCTTATGATGAAGGGCGGTATATATATCAAATTAATAACCAGTCCTTTTTTCTGGGGTACCTGAACATTATTTAAAGAGATATTATAGTATGAAGAATCTGCAAGCAGGATTTGAACTATGAGCAACAGAAAAAAAACCTGGTTATTATTGTGTTATGGTTATGATATAAAAGAGGGAAATAGGGTGCAGCAAAGGGGAGGGGGAGAAAAACATGGGAAATGGGATGTGAAGTCTATATTATACAGATAGATAGACAGACAGACAGACAGACAGACAGATGTATTGGAATTCTATGTGGAATCTGTAGAAATTTAATAAAATATATTTAGGAATTTTTAAAAAAGTTTACCTGAAGTCGTTATGTCGAGACAAAAAGAGAGTCAGAGAGATACATAAATATACATACATATGCATATATATATATATATATATATATATACACACACACACATAGAAACATAATTATTGGAATTCTATGTGGAATCCGCTGAAATTTAATAAAATATATTTGGAAATAAATAAATAAAATAATTAATAATAATAATGAGTTTACCTGGACATACTTGCTGGCGCAGTCACAGCCCACCTGCAAATGCTCGAAACCAACTTTTTGGAGGCTTCCCCGCAGAGAGTTTTCAAACACCCTGAAGGAGCCCCTTATCTCTTCAAGAGGCATGGCGCTCCCGCTTCTAACCCAAGTTTTGAAGGCCGGTCAGGCCTCACAGGAAGGCAAGGCAGGAGCGACCCCTTCGCCTTATTTACATGGCAAACCGGGCCCGGGGACTGAGGGGCGTTTTAAGCCCTTCGTGGGTTGCCGTCCGCGCGTGCGCACCGGCTTCGTTCTTCTCTATGGTTCGCGGCGCCCAGACGTTACCAACGGAGCCAGGCGCACGCGCAATGTGCTAAACTGAAGCTCCGCAGCGCCGGGCAACGCAAGCCGCGTTTCTGAGGCTTGGGCGCGGGAAGTAACGGTTGGTCCGGGTGTTCGGAGGGAGGTTAGAGTTCCTCCAGCTCTCTTTTTCTTTTGGACTACAACTCCCTTGATCCCTAGCTCGCAGGCCCAGCGGTGAGGGACCATGGGAAATGTAGTTATGTAGCTGGAGACCCAAGTATATGGGAAACAACTGGTTGCAATGCGCAAATGAGATTCTTACTGAAATCAGTGGAACTTGCTTCTCCTGAGTAGACATACATAGGATTGTATTGGGAAATGGGTGCACAAAGACATGAATATTTATTTATCTACTTATAGATGTATACAGTTTTAATTCTGTCAGCGTTGAACTGTCCATTCTGTGCTATTCTAATATTGTTGAATATTATATTTTATTATGACTTTCTGTATTGGATAAAGCATGTGTTCTTTGCTGTGTATTTTCTTGTTGCTGAAAACCACCTTGGGTATAGTTATATAGATATATAGTATACAAATATATATTTGTATATAGTATACAAATTAAAACTGAAATGAAAACTGTAATTTTAGTTTCTTTCTGTTTTTAGCCGTTCTTGTTTTTAATCTCGATTCAGGTAGGTAGCCGTGATGGTCTGACACAGTCGAAATAAATAAATAAATAAAAGTCCAGTAGCACCTTAGAGACCAACTAAGTTTGTTCTGGGTATGCTACTGGACTTTTTTTATTTGTTTTGAATTTGTAAGCCACCTGGAAATTAATAATAATAATAATAATAATTCTGTTACAAGACAGAGCAAAGAGTCCACACAAATTTGAGGTTTTCATATTATTATTTATTACATTTGTTTACTGCCTTTATCTGAAGATCTCAGGCCGGTTCACAGCATAAAAATACAAAATAGAGCTATCAGCCACAACCCCAAAATTGCTTTCCTGAATAGTTACAGCCAGTTCACATCTTATCAACGCATGTATGAAATTTGAATCATCATCATTATTTAATCCCAACACACACCACTTAATTATGTTCAGTCTCACCCATTAAATAGCTCGTTCTTTCCTCATCCATCTGCAGTTAGGAAAGAATTCCTAATCTACTTTGGGAGTTGCTGTTAAGAAGAGTATTTAAACGGTTGCAATTATCGTTCAATCTAATGAAAGGGGTAGAATGAAATCTCATTAACTTGCATCCAAATTCTTAGAATGTTTACTCAGACGCAAGTTCTGCTAAACTCAGTTGAAGTTCCTTCTGCATAAGCATGTTTATGGCTGGGCTGTTGAATAAAATAATTTCCCTACTCTGTGTAATTTTGATAATGTATTCAGTTTGTGTAAACATGCATAATTAAGTTGATCTAGTAATAGAATAGAATGTTGGGTTGTTGTTTTTGGCTGTTCCAGGATGTTCTCCAGAATTTCAAGCTCATGGTTAGCAATAATGCCCAGATAGTCCTCAAATTCTGAACATACTTTTGCAAAAAAAAATTTTAAAAAATTACAGCAGCATATTTCTGCGTTGCAGAGGGTTGGATTAGATCAGGCATCCCCAACCTTGTGCCCTCCAGATGTTTTGGACTACAGTTCCCATCATCCCTGTCCACTGGTCCTGTTAGCTAGGGATCATGGGAGTTGTAGTCTAAAACATCTGGAGGGCCGCAGGTTGGGGATGCCTGGATTAGATGATTCTCAGGGTCCCTTCCAGCTCTATGATTCTATTATATCTATGAACTGCACACCTAAACACACTAGGTAGGGGGTGAATCCCATTGGACATGGAGTTAAATAAGTATGCAGTGAACATCCTTAGGACTGTGCAATAAACACCTTTATATAATGAAGGCTACAATCCCATACACATACCTTACACTTACAGCTGATTTTACATCTAATCTACTATGCATAGGATTATGCATCCTGGAATCAACCAAATAATATTGTTCAATGTAGTTGCACATACTGCAATGTTTAATGTTAGTTACATTTAACTTTCAACAGAATTAACAAAATGGATGTGTTAGAAAATTGCAGTCCGCTGCTAAACTATTTAAGGCTTCAGTTTTATTCACACTAATCTGGATGTAAGTCCTATTGAAGTCAATGAGGCTTTTTTCTGAGTAGGGTTGGACAGGAATACACTGTTTACGACACTAAGAAAACCTTCATGCTTACAAAAACGTGGCAGAGTAATGATGTATTATGAAATCTTTAGGAGCTGAACTCTTATTTTTTTACCCAGAATTTATGGCTCCAAAGAACCTAAATATTTAATATGTCTAGTCCAGGGGTAGGTAACCTAAGGTCTGTGAGCTGGATCCGGCTCAATCGCCTTCTAAATCCGACTCGCAGACGGTCCGGGAATCAGCGTGTTTTTACATGAGTAGAATGTGTCCTTTTATTTAAGATGCATCTCTGGGTTATTTGTGGGGCATAGGAATTCGTTCATTTCCCCCCCAAAATATAGTCCGGCCCACCACATGGTCTGAGGGACGGGGGACTGGCCCATGGCTGGAAAAGGTTGCTGACCTCTGGTCTAGTCCTCCTTTTCTGCCAGTTAGGAATTAAATCAGTTCAGTTTCACTAAGCACTGAAACTTAGTTTCATGGTCTGTAACTATAAGTGCTGAGAGGTAGAGAACCTAGGGTCAAGTTATTTCTCAACTGTTATTTCATTCACCACAACTGTGAAACATAAGATTGTCAAGGAAAGTCATTGGAGGAAATGTCCTATTAAGTTTCATTCTGAAATATAGAGGCCTAGTACCATAGGTAAAAATTTCCCGCATGCTTATTAGAAATCTTCTGACTGCAAAAGCTTGCTTAAAGCCCTCTGCCACAAAAGGTTCTACAAGATGGATTCTTTTTATATTTTGTTTGTTAAAAGAAATCTCTTGTCACTCACAGCTGCAAATGCATTCAAAAACCATTAAACCAAAAGCACGGGGGCATTTCAAATGTCCAAATTAATTTAAAAAACTGGTGTGTGTTTTAGTGTGAGCATATGAGTTGGAGTAGTTTGTTCTGCAAAGCAAGGAAGCCTATATTGACCTAATGGTTCAGAAAACAAATAAAAACAAGTAAATAACAAAATAAATCTAACGTAGGGAGAGGGAAACGAAATGATTTCATCAAAGAATGTGCCAAGAGTATCTGCAATAAATTCATTAGGGCATTATCTGAAGGCACATGAGCTAACCAACTTGCTCTAAGTAAGTAAAACGTAAATGGACAGTCAAAGGCATCTAGAGGGTGTGGCACTCATCTTGCTTCAGGCTGAGGGAGCCAGCATCTGTCCACAGACAGTTTTCGGGTCATGTGGCCAGCAGGACTAAACTGCTTCTGGCGCGACAGAACACTGATGGAAACCAGAGCTCATGGAAACGCTGTTTACCTTCCCACTGCAGCGGTACCTATTTATCTACTTGCACTGGCGTGCTTTCGAACTGCTAGGTTGGCAGGAGCTGGGACAGAGTAACGGGAGCTCACCGCATCGCAGGGATTTGAACCGCCGACCTTCTGATTGGCAAGCCCAAGAGGCTCAGTTTATTTAGTTTTTTTAAAAAAAATTATTTAACAATTTCAGCATAACAAATTAACAGTCAACATAATCAATTACATTATGCCCCCCCTTCCCCCCAACCCTCCCACCAAGGACTTTCCTCAGTTCCCTGCCCTGATTTCATTACAGAAGTCAGAACATTGCCTTAGAATAAGAGTTGCAGCCTATTTCTGTTCTGTGAGGATGAAGCTACTTGCCTGGGTTCTTCCTTCTCTCGCCAGCCTTTGGCCCCAAAACATTTCTATGCTTTTTAAAGTCTTCTTGTCAAAAAGGTGCCCGAAAGTAACCATACTTTCATGTTTCTTACAGGAGTAGAACACTAAAGAAAAAATTCCTTTAATCCTGATGTTGATTTGTTTTATGATCTCAAGTGACACATATGAAGGTGCATAAATTCACATGCAGACACCTGGACAATAAAATCTGCTTTTCTGAGATGCATACATATTATTCATTCAACATCATCACTCAAAGTCCAGTTTTTAGTGGTGTACCATACATAACAGAACATGGTTGTAGTAGCTTAATTCTAGGCAAGATTTTGAAAAGTAGGACATATGACTGCCCACTGCCTAAATGTGAGAATGCTAAAGGAACAAACATCATTTGGCTCCTCTGTAACAAAATCCCAATAGCCATGGAAATACAGCATGTGGGCGCTTGGATGATTAACCATGGCAGTCCCATAGACTGAGATTGTCCCACTCTAAAGGACATCTATTGATTTCTGTGGCATAAAGTAATATAAGGAGAGTCCTGCTCAACTAGTCAGGGTTTTTTTCTCCAGCTGGTACTCAGTGGAACTCAGTTCTTGCACCTCACAGGTGGGTTCCAGCAGCTCTCAGGTGGGCACCATACCCATTCTAAGAGAACAAGGGAGGCGTTCATGGTGAGTTCCGGCACCACTTTTTCTAGAAAAATAGCACTGACTAGAACAAAGGTCCATCTAGTTAGAATTCTGTTGTCAAATTGATTTCATGCCTTCCCTTCACTATAAAAACCTAGGGCAGGTTACAGCAAGTGAAAAACACAGCAAGTGAAAACACGTAGCCATGTCTAAATGTCAGAGATATTGGCTTAAAGCTGTCTGGGTCTGGACTGAGGAGGAATGGTGGGGACCACCCTCCACTTCTCCTGAACCTTCCTGAGAACAGGAGGACAGTATAGATTTAGAACAGTGGTTTGCAGAAGGGCATAGTTCAGAGGCTGCAGAGTGGAGAAGCTGGGAAATATTGGAAGAGGAACATCAGGAAGAAGCAGCACTGGGGAGAGAGAGCTGATGGACTCAGTGTCCTTGGAAAGCATTCCTGACCCCCCACCCAGGACCAGGCAGGCATTGAGGGTAGTAGAACAGAAAGCTCAGAAGCAGAAAGCTCAAATTAACCGCTGCAGGGGTGAAGTAGAATAGGGAGGACGTAGTGGGGTGGGACTTTCCCTGGAGCAGCGCTATTTCCAGAGAGAGACCTCATTCCTTTGTCTCTCGCTATGATTATTAAATAAACTAATTGGTAAGAACTCTTCTCTGGTTTTCTCTGAGTCTTTTCTGCCACAGTGTGAGGGATCTGATTCCCCAAAGCATGGCAAAAAGTAGACATAATCATGCTTTACTCCGCATTAGGTTTGGGCTATTGGACTTTAGATTATTGTTCTTTCAACATATATATTTTTCATTTGAATCTGGATTTTGGACTGCTAACCCAAGTAGCAGTATCTGGCATTAGCATACGTAAAATTTACATCGCACTACAACTCTTCATGAGTCATGGCATACTGTTAAATGTTTCAGATTATATTGTATGTCTAAAACAATCGTTTTTAAGAAGCACAAATGGTTAAAAAGGCAGAATTGGCTGGATGTGTTAACTGTTCCCTACTTTTGGAGCAGCCTTTCACTGCTTGGCACTTAGTACGCACTGCTGTTCTGCGTCCTGTAGGCTGGCCAGCTGGAAAAAATTATCTTGGAAAATTGGCCATATTTTTGACACTAATAAATGACTGAGTGTTGGCATGGAGTTACAGAATGCTTCTATGGTAGGTTAAAATTATGTATAGATAGACTCTAGGTTGAGAACGTAAACGATTACAGTCATACCTCTTGTTACGTTCAGTTCAGGTTACGTCTTTTCAAGTTGTGTCTCGCGGCAACCCGGAAGTACCAGAAAGGGTTACTTCCGGGTTTTGCCACTCATGCATGCGCAGATGTGCAAAATGACGTCATGCGCAGATGTGCAAAATGACGTCATGCGCAGAAGCAGACGCGGGTTGCATTCCCTTAAGGTTGCGAACGGGGCTCCGGAACGGATCCTGTTCGCAACCAGAGGTACCACTGTACAATAAATGGAAGCCAGAGTCAACAATTGGGCAAATTAAACTTCTGGGTGCAAAAATGAACATATTTTTGGTTTGGGTTTGTTTAGATATCTTACATATAGAAGCAGCTTAAGGGTAGCTCTTTCAGGTTAATTGATTATTATATCAATAAGCATATGCAACTGTTTGTCAAGGTGTTTCAGCAAAAATCCTAGAATTGTAGAGTTGGAAGGGACTCTGAGGACCATCTAGATTCTAGTCCAATCCCTGAAATGCAGGAATATGCAGTCATCCCATTGAACCTGCAAACCTGGCGTTATCAGCACAATGCTCTAGCCAACTGAGCTATCCAGATAGAAGTGAGCACAACGAATGCACTGACCATATCATGGTATCTTCCCGGTTCGTGAGAGCAATTTTCAGATTATGCTAAATGCATGCATAGCATGTAAAAATGCCAACTTGCTCACAGCAGCCACCATCCAGCCAAAGTCAAGGATTTTCAAGTCCCATTTAATTTCAGTTGGGGTGGTGGCAAAGTATGTGCTTTAAACTCTTCTGTTGAAATCAATGGGACTTGACAATGCTTAGCTTTGGGTCGATGGTGCCAAATGGGTATGGAATCAGAAGAGATTCTTTTGAGTTCATTAGATTTGGGATCAAGTCCTTCAGGAGAACTGGAAAACATTAATTTAAAATCTGAAAATGCTTTTTCCATCGTACACTAAGGCAGTATCAATGTCTTTGTTTAAAATGAGATATCTCCTTTGCTAAATTAATACACTTGCTAATTATCCTCCAGTTGCCTTTCTGTACTTGCCTAATTAGTTTAGCTGTGTCATCCTATTGTCAAACTCGCAAATGATTCAATTAATCTTATCTTGTCGTCCCAATAGCCCTCTGCTAAAATGAACAATAGTCTAGTTTTTGTTTGTATCTATCTTTGGGTATAATAACTGCTCTGTATTCTGTTGTAATATTCCCTTGCTGAGAAGATATTTCTGTATAGTTCTTTGTACTAAAACTTCAGCTGTCTCAATAGTGACAGTAGTTTTTTTGGTTTTGTCACTGATGAAGCAGCCTGTGTCCTTAAATTGGTTACCGAAACCACTGCACATATATATATATATATATATATATATATATATAGATAGATATATATATATAGATAGATAGATAGATAGATATATATATATATATATGATTGCTTCCCATTGAGCAAATGTCCCTATGTGATGCATATCCTGGGATTACAATAACGGAACAAAGAAAACAGTTTAGAAGCAATGAATTCTTTATTTTCCTTGCAAACTCAGGAATAAATGTAGCATTGCTATATTTCGGCTAATTAAAATCAAAATGGTATTACAGTATAGTACAGTGGTGCATCCATTATAATGACAGGTGCTTATGGCACAAGACATTTAGCAAGAACATGCAGGTAGTAAAGTACAATAACTGAAAGCCCAATAATATAATGAGTAAATTCAATGAAGTGCCACTGTATTCACGTAAAAGTAGTCTTCCACTCTCTCTGTATTTTTTTCAAGAAGGCAATTTAAATGTTACTCCCCCCCCCAAAAAAAAAATAAAATAAATATGGTTGGTTTTTCACCATTTAGTTCTGGAAATTTCAGAGGATTGGTGTATCTACTTTATAACTATAGTTCAATGTTTTAAAACATATATAGCCATAAGTATCATTTGTGGCGGGCTTTTCATGTGTATGTGGTTAGCAGTTGTCATGGACAGGAGCAATCCTTGTTATTCAACATGCTTCAATCGAACCAGTAGCAGAATGATTAACCTGTCAGGTGATCCTAGCAAACTGGCTTTCTTTTTATTTCAGTGGCATGAAATCAGAGATGTAAGAAGACAATGAGAAATTTGTTCTGGGGTGGCCCGATGTTCAACATACCTGAGGCCAATTTTGAGTTTTCAGTAGACAATGTCCACCCTGCTGTTGTAATTTTTTTTACCTGGCATGGGAACTGTAGAATGTCATGCCATCTTTGTGAATCATCCGAGGTACCTTCAAAAAATTCAGATACTGAATAAAAAGGTTGTTATTTGCATATATTGTCTATTCGGAAAGAAAGTGCAATTTTGGACTTTCAAAAGCAGATAACGGAGGTTTTGAAAGTATTATTTAATTTGCTGCATGCTGACTCCATATGGAACTCAAAAAGTTTATTTTATCTTAAGGTGGAAAGTGGCTACATTAAATCAGCGTTTACTTCTCACTACTATCTATGTGCACAGCAGCATAGCAGTCACTCTGACTGTTTACACTCCCGAAATAATTTTACTCTGAACATCTTATAATCTAAAATTTAAGTGCATTATACAGTTTAGAAGTTTAACGAGCATCAAATCCAAGACAGCACTGAACAAGATACTTTCTAGTCACAATTACTAATACTTTCAAGACATTTAGATGATAAAGGGAAGTTCTCTTTCTGCACATAACTGTGGCATTATGGGAGAAGTATTGCTTCTTTTCTCTTGCATTCTGGGAAGTCTCGCTTATAATCATCTTAAGTTCATGAACAAACAATATGACCTGTTCTTAATGCATAGCTGACCACATCTACAGAACTCGATTATTATATTCTTTCATGTTATGATCAATCATTAGTAATTGTTTTATCCATGCTATATCAATCTTTAGTTATAATTTAATTAGGAGGCTTCATGCCTGTCTAGTTCCAGCTCCGTTTCCCAGCCTTTAATCTATGGTGATAAATGTTTATATGTAATTCCCGCCTTGTACTTATGTTAACCAATCAGCAACAAGTTGCTTTGTGTTTGTATCAACCAATCAGCCACAAGCACACCTGTGGCAATGTTTGTAATATTCAATAAAAGAGAGTTCTCGGGGCTCGCCCCGGCAGACGCCTCTCATATGACACCTGCCACTCGTCTGTCGTGAATTCATTCCAACAAGATGATTGACTGGGCATTCAATTTTGCTGGGGGAGGCGTGGGCTGTGCTTTTTATCGGGGGCACCCAAGGATACGCAATACCAGCACCTACTTTGTTGTTGTTAAACAGTGTGGCACTTACTGTAACAACTTCCTACTGAGTACTGACACCTATTTTTCCAGAAGAGAATATCACTGGGTGTGGGAAATGCTGCCGACTTCCTAAATACATGAATGCTAACCCATAAGATTACCCTAGTACTACTTTATGCCTACTTATCCCATAAATCTGCTCACGTGGTGTTATAATTTCTATTATTTTGGAATCCTGCATCAAGCTTTGGTTGTCAACGATCCATCAGAGGTTATAGATCTAGCACAGCAAGTTGGCATATAAACTTGTTTAACATGCAATGTTACCCAGAGATGGCGCATTAATGCAGTATGGGCTTCATAGCTAACTAATGGACTATGTGCTATCCACTCTGAGTTTTTTATTACTGTTATTGTTGTTGTTGTTATTATTATTATTTACTTATGAAGTCTATAATGTAAATGTTAGTAGCCCTAACAGCCTTCACTAAGGGCCTTCTCGGTAGTGGCACCCACCCTGTGGAACGCCCTCCCATCAGATGTCAAAGAAATAAACAACTATCGGACTTTTAGAAGACATCTGAAGGCAGCCCTGTTTAGGGAAGTTTTTAAATATTTGATCGTTTATTGTGCTTTAATATTCTGCTGGAAGCTGCCCAGAGTGGCTAGGGAAACCCAGCCAGATGGATAGGGTATAAATAAATCATCATCATCATCATCATATACATGTTGGAACTGTGGGATGGAAAGCCAGCTGGCTTGGCCACAGCCGGAGCGTCTCCCTTCTCAGCCTTGCCGCTGCGGAGATCCATCAGACCTCCTCCGATGTGCACCCATGACTCATGGTGCTGTGTATGCAAGAGCACACATTACTTAGCAGAGTAAACACACAACAGATCCAGATCAAGGCATGGATACTAGACTACGTTTATTGTACATAAATCAGAACAAAGAAAACATGGCTTCGCTCCTTGTCATTCTTCTCGGAGAGAGAGAAAAACAAAAGCAATACAGAGAGGATGTTCCGCACGCAGGACTCCAGCAATCTGTGCTGGAATGTAAACAGACATGTGTCATGTAACAATCCCACATATCTGCCGTAAGGGTGGAATGAAATTCCCAACAATACAATGTGCCAACCTGAGTGCATAAAAGCAATGTGGATCTTAGTCTGTTGCTTCACTGGTTTGCTGATGTTGCATGTACTTTTATGGGCTGGTAGTAACATCGTATTTTAAATGGAAACTACAGTGGTACCTTGGGTTAAATACTTAATTCGGTCCAGAGGTCTGTTCTTAACTTGAAACTGTTCTTAACCTGAAGCACCACTTTAGCTAATGGGGCCTCCTGCTGCTGCCGCACTGCCGGAGCACGATTTCTGTTCTCATCCTGAAGCAAAGTTCTTAACCTGAAGCACTATTTCTGGGTTAGTGGAGTCTGTAACCTGAAGCGTATGTAACCCGAGGTACCACTGTATGTAAGTAAGGCTGAGGTCCCATGCACACTTAGTTAGGAGTGAATTCCACTGAATTCAATGAACTTCGGAATAGCCATCCATAGCCATCCACTGTCAAAGTTCTTAGCAGGTTCACTACACAGATTAAGCACCTCACCCACAATTCATAATTTGAATGAAGCTTGTATGTCTCCATTTGGGCAGGTGTTGATTGGCAAGAAATGTGTTGCTGTTCTTGTAAAGAAGGATGATTCACCTAAATATTATTGTGGCTCTGCTCTGATGGGTTTTCCGACTCCAGGCTGTCAAACATATGTAGTCCTCGTTCTCAAAGGGTCTTCACGGCTGTGACGTTTTATCTCGGTAAAGATAATAGTTATGCTGGGTCGGCCACGTTTGTTAAAATTCTGTCTTCGGCTATGTCCTTGAAAGAAGCCAGCTGGGAATCTGATGAAACTGCAAAGGTTTTAGAGTTCTTCAAAGCAGAATTCACTTGAAAGGTTTGCTTAGGGAGGAGGTCAGCGGAGCACTGCTATGGCTTGATGACCTTATCGGTGGGGATTCTCCATACTTCTGCATGCACTATGTTACTTAGGGTTGCTTGGGTGTGATTAGGGCTGGCACCCTTCTAGAATGAGAAATCATTCACTTTATATGACAGGCAGGAATCAAGAGTGGATGCATTCCTTAGAACCATATCTCCAAGCTGAGAGAAATCCCAGAGCTGTTAAAAGGTATATAAAATGTGTCATTGCCATAAATTGGGCACAGCATGCATTCCTAGTGCATTGTGCCAAGATGAAGTGATGTTTCATGTGATTATGATAGATCCATGGCCTTCAATATTTCTCTGATGAAAAGAGGGACGTCCTATTCCACAA